GGGGGGGGGGCGGAAAGTAGTTTAGTTTGGGTCTCGGGGTTTTATAAGTTGGTGGAAGGGCTTGTTTAGCCACTTTCCCCTCGAAGGGGGACAGAGAGGTGGACAGGAAGTGCAGACTGTGACTCCTGACAAATTGCACCTTCGTCGATTGGCATCTTGCTGGAGGCATTGAAATCTGCTCTTTTGAAAGGCAAGACAAATGAAAGAGACCTAAATGATGTGACAGTCGCTTTCTTCACTCTTACGCCCATGTAAACACATTCCAACTTTTGTGATAGATCAAAGAGGCCGCATAAAAAGGATCAAAAAGTCCTCGCCAAGCTCCATCGAGTCCTGACTGGAGGGACTGACACCAAGGGGAGCTCCAGTACACCCTCCAGTGAAGGTGACTTTGACAGTACAGATTACCCGAAAACGAGCAGTTCAACGCCTGTCCCTCAATGCGATCCGGTAAGTGAAAATGCCTGAGCCCATCTGGTACATTTATCCCCTCTCGTCCAGCATTTTAGAGTTCGTTGTTTGTGCCAGAGGGTGGAAATGCGATTACCTTTGTCATCCATTCGCCCTTTTATAAACCCACCTCAATTTCAACGATTTAGTGGATGCCAAAGCGATCAAATCACAAGTTTAGACAAAAAAGGGAATTCTTGGAAATGCGAGATAAGAACAAGGCTGTTCAGGCGGCTGAGGAGGACCGAAGGAGATTTGTAATAGCGCATGCACCTCGGTAACTTTTTATTTTCAACTAAAACATCTTCTGGCGCATTTTTAATCGGCCACAGCGAGTCGTCTTCAAAGGTTTAAATTTAGGCATCAAAGTCCTTCAAATGTCCTCCTTCTGTTTACTCACTTATTACAATAAACATGATAAAGAAGTTCTCACTTATCTACTTAAATTTGTGCACTATTTCTCTCGTTTCAATGACAATCGGTGTAAGAGGGCTTTTAGTCGTCGTGTTTAGTTGGGAATTTAGCGCGTGGGCGGACCTTTTTTATGCTTGTCAGAAGTGAAGACAGCACTTGTCCCTTTCTCTCAGCACACCGTAAAATCCCAAACCCCTCCGTTTTTGCTTGCCATCGTTCCTTTGTAAGCAGAGTGTTCGGCCCATGTGAGGCGAGTGGAGGGCGACAGGGCGGGCGAGGCGGAGGGGGTCGAGGAGGGTCGTGGGAGAAGACGATTAGCCGAGCAGATGAAGGATTAATTATTTCCTAATCCTCAGCTTATCGAAAAGTAGACTTTGTGCCTCCTTTGCTTTTTTTTTGCTCTCCTTTTCAGTGGCAACTTTTTGTACGCCCCACAACACTGTGTGAAAGACGTTTTGCACCTTCAAAACACTTTACGAGTTTAACTAAAAAAATCACACCAATCAACTTCATTTTTTTGTAAAATATGAGGAAATTATGTAATCGCCTTTTTTTTATTTGTCCACCTTCCATCCAAACTTCTCCTCGCCTGCCTTTTACAAATTGCTTTAATTTTGTTGGAGTTCATTCAAACAAAAATCGTTGCCAATAGAAACAAATGATTAGTATGAAAAGACCGTAGAAATGACGCTTTAGGCGTTGAAAAAGCATAAAATATGCGTTTCTTCATTTTCCCCTTTCGAGAGAAGTCGACTGGTAAACCTTTTGGAAAGAATTTACAAATTATTAAAGTTTCACATGGAGGCTGGCCTTCACCTCCGCCTCAGAGACCGGTGGCATCCGTTCGGCTGAGTGTTTGGTGGTCACTAACGCCTCGTTGAGCCTCCGTGGTCTTGACAGCATTCCTCTTCAATGATATCCTTCCTGGTTTTTTTTTTCGTAAATTAAAGCACAGCTAAAGTATGGCTTTCCTTATCGAGTAAACTGCTTGCTTTTTTCTTCGCTCAACCTAGCAAAGTGATTGGGTGGAGAGGGTTGAACAGGTCTTTTGGTGCATCGAAAGCGCACCGCTAACTTCATAACATGCAAAAGACTGTCTTGCTTGGATTTTGTGATACACCAGCTGAGTGCTGCCGATTCCAGTAAGGCGAATTGCTTCTGAGGCAGAGCTCTCGGATCACTCCCTCCGTAGAAGCAACTGATGCTTATCTTTGCTGTTGTCTCTGTGGCTTCTAAAAACTCCTTTGGGACACTTTGTTTTGAAGTTAAAAATCGCATGAGATGACGCATGTTTAGGCGCGTGGAATGCTCTTAGGCAGATTTAGAATTCATTGGTTTCGCCTTGATCTCCCTCCCTCCCTCCTTCTCACTCTCCTCCCTCCACCTCCGGATTCCTCTTTGACACCGGGAAGAGGGAATCGCTTACTACCAACGTGCACAATGGCATTGCAGAGGTGAAAGGTTGTTGAAGACGTCGGTAGACCTTAAAGTGCCTTAAAACAACCTCTCTTGTCCCTTGGGTGTCAAGTGTCATCAACCAGGAGATCTGGTCGTGGCGGTCCGTTGGACAAAATCCACATTCTCAACTCTATGGTGTTATCCAGCTGTCGAAATCATTTTAATCAAACCTTGACAGCCTGACGTGGACGTAGGCTAAGGCCCTCCACACGGAGGTGGGTTGGTGCCTGTTTGTGGTTACTGCGCTTGGAGGTCTCGAATAATTCACTCCTTTTCCGTCGAGTAATGGAACCTAACTTACAAGGCCAAGATATTTTAACGTATAGAATCCTCTCTGAGGGTCATGTTTTCGAATGGATGCACAAATTGCCTAAAACTAAGCGAACACACGCCTCGTTTAAAGCGTCAATCAAAACTCCCGAGCACAGGAACTAAATTTGCTTAATTCGACCAAAGGTAAAATGAGATGAATCAGTCTAGCATTGCTATTCACCTTTCAAACTGTAAACTCGACTCAATGCTTACTTGAGGTGTCTTCTAAAGGTGGGAGTACTGAACAAAAAGCTGAGCTTTTGTTAAGCTTGCTATGACAGCTTATTACCGACTTGAAGGAATTCGAAACCTGTCTTTGACTTAGTAGTTGTGAACAAGTATGTTGCAAAAAATGAGTATTTCTGTCGATGAATGCTAAAAAGGTGGGTGACAATGGATTAACTATGCAATTTTTTCCCTATTGCCATTCTGGTCATCAAATCCTTCCGATATTATAATGTTTTGATGCATGCTCATTAATGATGAATCATATGTACTTCAACAATTGACCTCTACAACTCGTTTTCAGACTCTATTTTTATCCTAATTTTCATTGGTCATTACCCCCAGATTCCAACCAATCAGCGTGAGGCTTCACCGTCGGTTTGGCAGCTGCAAAATCCCCTATTGGGTGAGAGTCACAGTGCCTTCATTGACCTTCGAAAACCACCACCACCGCCGCCACCACCTCCTCCACCACCACCACCACCACCTCCACCAGTAATGAGCTCTGCTGTTGTGGTCACCGACACCATCACCGCCGCTGACACCATGGCTAGCACTGCGGCGAATCTCGTTGCAGCTCTCAAGGTGACCACATCATCGGTGGGCGTGTCGGGGCACCCAGCACCTCCTCCACCCCCTAAAAGATCTCCTCAAACGGTTTTAACGGGGTGAGAATGAAAGCTTGGGGTTTTTGTAGCATACCTTTCTTCTCTCATACTGAGCATGAGCGATGAGAATGGAAGTGGCAAATCTGCTCTTCCAACAAAAAGGGATTATTTTTTATGTGGAGGCATTCATTGAAAAGTAGAATTGATGATGCTTCACCTATCCTAGGAATGAAATCGTTGATACCAAAGTCCACAAAACGCAAATTCGTATGAATGGACAGGCAACTTAATGTATGGCTAGTGGAGTGGGTGGGGCATGGCGGAGCAGCTTAAAGGCTGGATGAATTCGAGATGGATTGAGGCCAGATAAAGCATTGATCGCGTATTTCACCGATGTTAGCTGGCTAAAATTAGGTAACGGGATGATTTCATTTAAGGCGTAAAATAAGGAAGTGATTTTCGTTTTGCCAATTACTTTTACTTACTTTTTCAATGAAATATTCCAGCGACAATTTTGTGAGCAGACTTGGGATCTTTTTTCTTCTCTGGACCCGAAATTCTCTTAGTATAGTCCTGCACCACAATCGAGTGCTATCAAGAGCAAAATTGTCGTTTAAATTCCTTCATCTTCAATCTGGCCACCTCCTTCTCCTTCCTCTAGATCATAATAATTGTTTTTTTGACTTTGATGTTTCCATCGTGGTCAACCATCTCACAGTCTGGAAAGGGAAAGTCCCCACTCCCAACTATTTCCTGCTTCTATTTTCTTTCATCGTGATGTCCCGAGGCTTTCCCTAAGCAATGGTTGCGTATTTTCATAACCATTGTCATGGTGGCTGTTTACCTGTGCTGCGGGTGGAACGATACTTCACTTTGGGCACATTTACCCTCGTTCAGCCTGGAGGAGACTTTAAAACCAGCCACGCGATTGGAGCGTCGGTCATTAGACCCTTCTAGAGAGTAGAGGCTATTTAATATCAACGTTACAGTAGATTGGTACAAGACAAGTGGTGACCTTCACTAGTTGTCATCCGAAAATGGGTGTACGTAACAGTTTTTTCCCCTCCCCCCCCTCCCCACAAACCTCTTATCCATTCATCTATCCCGTACACCTCTTTCATTCACCCATATTTAGAACTTAGTAGCGCATGTTTTGTTTGTTGATGTCAATATTTGGCTTGCAACCCCTTCGTCCTGATTGAGAAGTGGACGAAGTCCATTGGGTCTAAGAACGTCTTTATGGACGTGACACCCTCGGTCCTTTCGATAAGTATCAACTGTAAAACGAGAATGCATTGAAGCTGATTTACTTTCTTTGGGGAAGTTTAACCTGTACTTTCCAGATCCGAGGGTGAATCTCCTCGTGCTTCCAACTGGAGCCCCAAATAGGGAAAGGCTTCATCAGAAGTCTCCTAACTTTACTGGTAACCATTTAGTGGAAACCATTTGGTGGAAAGTACCATCGCGGCCTGACACATCATCTAGGATGGATGTGTGTGTGAAAGGTTTCGAGTTTTTCTTTCGAGGAAATTCACGCCACTCAGCCTTGACTGGTAGCCTACAAGAAAACTCCAAGCATAAAGTGTGACACAGAGTAATGATGCCACTTCAAATAAAGTGGCAGCACTTATCTGCATCTCTTGGAATTTTATTTCGTTGAAGAACGAATTAGCTTTGTGATTTGAGTTTGTAGCTTGAGGTGTATTTACTTTTTTGTCTTGCAAATACGCAGACGTTGTACTACTTGACATTTCTCAGGCCCAGGAGGTGGGTGCAAAACGAGGCAGAACCGCTTACCTACTGTGCAGGCGTTTAATCCACCTTCCGACTTTGTTTTTTTTTTAGTGTAACTTTCCTGACAGGCCACATAGTGGAATAAGTCATGGGAAATTATGACACATTTCTTTAGCAAAAAGGGGAAATGAAAAACATGCTGCGGAAAGTAGATCGCCAAAGGTTTGGGAGAAATGACAAAGATCTACATTGGACATAAGGAGCAACTTTAAGTTGCTTAGCATTCATAAATCACCTTTCATGGAAGTTAGGCAAAACATCTTGTGTACCTTTGTCGTGGAGATACAGAGGAACAAAGTAGTCACTTTAAAAGAATATCCTTCTTCTTACAAAGCAACTTTGAATTATGTCTTTCTCGTAAAAGTGAACATGAGTAGTGTCAAAAAGGAAGTAATATCGTTGTCATCTACTAAACACAGTGAATAGAAATCCCATAACTTTATCCTCATTTTTAAGTTAAAAGAAAAGTTTTAGAATAGTTTTGCATTAGGTGTACAGAATGAAACACTTCATATTTTCCGACTGGCATTTCCTATATTTGAGTCCACTTTAGAGGAGTAATGACAAAATGATGCTTTACACTTTTTCACAAACAAGCTCAGAAAACTTGATTTCCAAGCCATTTCATGCAAAGCTTGGAAACGGTGAGGTAGAATATCAAAAGAGGTCATTCCTTGCAAATCTGCATCATAAGTTAGCTCCTTTATTTTCCGCATTTAGAATTGGAATTCGGTAAAGCAAAATGCCTATTCTACTGCAAATGCATCAGTCATGCACTTAGTCATAAATGGGTCAAGTGTTTAGCTTTTGTATCGCTAAATAATTATTCACGTCTGATAATCAGAGCTTATACGAAGCAGAAATTGGAAATGCCAAAACGCGGCTGATTTTGGGAGGAGAATGAGAGACGAATTTGTTATTAACTCAGGTTTCATTTACACTAGAGAAAGTGCAGTAAAAGTAATTTTCTACACTGCGCAAAATTCATAGTTGGATTTGCGCCCTGATGAATTACTCGTTCGGGATACTCTTTCTCAGATTACACCATCACTTCGTAGGATGTGCGTTCGCAATGGTTGATTTTCGTTCAAAGTAAACTTTTGAATGAAGGCTCATTTGAGAGTTGCAAACTTCTTATGTGTGAAGCACTATGAATTACGTACAATTTCCCATGCAACCGTTTTGCTGACACAGCCAAGGTTGGAGGTCAATTTTAGACCGCTGAAACATTTAAACGTTGGTAAGAGGTGGGGAGGCTGGGGTACTCCACAATCCGTGTTTACCTACAACATTTTTTGGTAAAAAATGAGATTTTCCGCTGTTTGATTAATAGTTATGTCCAAGTTTTAGGAATAAAATAAGTAGTCTTAAATGGTCCAAATATGGCAAAATATTAACCAATCACACCCTTTTTTTCAGAAATTAATAGCTCAATTGCTAGAGAAGTTACTTCAACTCGAAAAATTGGGATCTGCTTAGTTTCCATTATTTCAACCGAGGGCATTCTTCGTCATGTTAATATTGTCAATGTAAAGGGGATAGAATAAACAGAATAATCTGATTCTATATCGGTCGCTACACACTTTTTTCCATCCACACTGGAATCATAGAGACCTAGTCGAGTGCTACCGTAGTGCCTAATGTCCAGAGGCCAGCCCGACCTCTGGAGGCCAAATGTCCACTCATTTTACCTGAACGCATACCTGCGGTCTAACAATGTTTTGCCTCAGCAACCGCATTTCAGAAAAGTAGCATTGGCCCCTTAACAATTCCTCGTGCTCCTGTTACGGTAACTTAATATATTCACATTCAATATAGTAAAAGAGCAACGTGCCTAGGCAAATGCTTCTGGGCCCAGTGAGTTCAGAAAGTCAGTTCTCCTCTGTCTCATACTATCACGCCCTTGATACTTTACTGATTTAGCGCATACATGAACAAATGGCTTGAAGTGTGCATGCGCGTACTTTACACTACTACCGCCTTGTTACACGCTGTCATGCGTAACATGATCGGATCTCCCCATTTCCAACGTTGGTACCACTTTAGTCTCATATCAGCTCCGATCTCCACATTCCATACAGTTTATCTGTGCAACGCATCAGTATACCTTATAAGAACCAGAACGCAAATAGACCAACCAAAACTCATTAAAAGTTTGAAACCAAACCCTGTGAAATGGGCAACTAAAAGCTTCGCTTTTGTGCAAAGACTGCTTGCAACCTATGGGGCTTTGAAAGCCCCAGTTATGTGTCCCCCTCTGCTCTTCGCTCAGTTCTCTCAACTCACCACTGTGGCTGTGCTTTCTATCTTCCAAGTTTAAAAGTAAACATCTCAATCGATTTCAAAGCAAACCATTTTCTCATAGGCAAATGTGCTCATCCTATGTAACCGAGAGTTCTCCAAGAATAATCGTCCTAGCTAGGCTTCAAATGTTTTGATGTTGCAGACAGCGTAAGGCCGTCGAATACAAATGTAATGCATGACTACTTTAACATTGAAATATCCAGATTATTCCATGTGTTTGGTAATTTCGTTTCTAAATGAGGTGTTACGGCAACCTACCCCGTGTCCTTTTTAATCACTTTTTGTGCAGCGAAAGTGTACGAGGTGTTAACCACCCTCACTAATGTGATTGCGTCAAGTACAGGCGCACACTTCACTTCAAATGCCGCTCGCTGGGGAAATCAATAATGACTACGCGCGAGCGACCTTGAAGTTGGTTGATAATTGGCTCAGTTTATGTTAACATTGAGGTTCATTCAAAATCTTTCCCTTAAAAAACAGAAAAAGAGTTGTTTGCCAAAACCTTAAAAACTCACTATCAGAAATTCTAATGTCTTAATGTAAGAGCTTTTTCAGTATCTTCTGCTCCACTTTCCTCTTACTTAACGCAGGCTTCTTAGGAGGAAGATGCTTAGAGATATAGATACAATCTATAGAGATCAGACACTAACAAGACGTAGTAACTAGTTCTCGAAGCTCGAAATGCACAACCGCCTTTTCTTTGTGAGGGAAACTTAAACGCATAAGTAAATATTACTGCTTTCGTAGCTGAATTGCCATAATTATTGGCTACATATTTATTGTCAGCTCAATTTTACGGACGAACTATATTCTTGTTTCTGCCCATTATTATTCGACCAAACTGAATAATTCGTCCTTGATTCTACAATATTTTCCAGGAAATTCGAAGATGGGGCTTCTGTGCTGAAAGGCAATGCTTCTCAAGTATCTCCAATTCCATCATTGCCTCCAGCACCTCCACCGCCACCTCCGACTAAGGAAGCTTCTGTGGTGATGCTCACTCCTCGGAGTACTATTTTGCCATCCCATCCACGCGTAGATCCCTCCTCTTCCCACTCTAACGAAACTGGTTCCATAGATGAGGCCTCCGTTCTTCACATGACCGATCTCTTGACACGAAAGCATGCTTCCGACAGTGTGCGTGAGTACCTCCTTTCAGCAGCGGCAGAGATGGAGCACGAGAGGGAACGGAGATTACAAGCAGCTGCAGTGAATGTGGTGGCATTCAGGCGGAGAGTGCCTGCGGTTCAAAGACACCCATTATTTGAAGCAACTAGAGCATCAACAATGGGGACATCCGCCTCGTCTTCAGGAAATACAATTGAGAGACCGACATCAGCTGTAGTTCCCAAGGTCTTACCGGCGGAGGAGGAAATTACGATTCGCCTGATAAAAGGTGAGCATCATGTGGAGAGGGCGATGTTCGAGTGGATCAAGTTATTAAATACTAAAATATAATGCATACACTGGAGTTTTATTCTTCATACTCTTTTTTCCGCTTCTCATAAATATGATTTTACCCTTGTCTTCGGAACTCAATCAGGCAAAATTGATTGGAATTTGAGGTAAAAAGAAAGTTTACGTACGTTTTTTGAGTCAATTACTTCCGGCTTTCATTAAGAGCTTATCCATCCCAACAATTGATGCATTTCGAGTGTGTGGTATTTGGGCCTTTTTCGTGTCTCCCACCTTCGTTGTATGGACTCGGCATTTAGCCGCTTTATATTTTACGTGTGATGAAGCGTCTGCCCTTTTGCTTTATTGCGTCCTGGGGATTAAAACGTGGTCAGCTGACCGCTCACCTTCAGAATTGTCAGGCGAGAATTACGTTACCTGTTAAAAAGTGTAATCCGTTTTATCTTACAAATTTACTCACTTTAAACAGCAACGAAATTAATGGGCAATTTGATGATTGGCGCACTAGGCACCGTTGACCAATCAAATTGCGGGTGCACAATCGACTTAATTCCTATTGGTCAGAATCGAGATTTTGATTTTAAATGGTGTGCACGTTTTGGTATTTTAATAAAACCCTCACATTTGAACTAGGTTTCCGGAATTGTATGTATGTTGACCTCTAACATCAGCTTCATCTATGACCATACAAAATACGAGATTTTCAATCATGCCCCGTCGTAGTTACTCTACTGCCTGTTTCAAATTTACATTTGAAATCTGAGGTTGTCAAGTGCGGAGGTGTTAGACAAAAACAACGTTCACATGCAGAAGTGGAGAGGAAATTGAGATTAGGCGGCATCTCCTTCCCTTTCCCTCTCTATTTTACTCATTGCATAGATCTAGTCGAGCCTAGATTTTAGTGATTTTCGCCAGCGATTTGCTAATTTTTCTAATGGAGAAAAATTTAAGATTTGTGCTATTGGAGGCGGTCAGCTTTCTCTCAGCAATGTAACCTGCTTGTTCATTTGTTTTTAGAGGTGAGTAACTCACCAGATTATAAGCGCCGAATAACCAAGTACATGTCGGTCCGTTTAAAGCCCCATCGCGAGATCCGCTACCAAGTGTAACAAAATTATGCACGAACGGGTTCTGGAATATCGCCCTCTACTTAGTGAAGCGATGAAGAGCAACAAAATGGCGGTTTCTTAGGCCACACACTAACCGTTGATGGGCACTTAAGTGTATGGAGGATTTTGGATTTTGTTCTGCTCATGTCGACCGATTTGTGTTGTTTTATTGCTTCCACAAATTCTCCATCAATGAACTCTGCACGCGTCCAAGACAGCTGAAGGGCCCTGGTAGACGTGGTGCGCCACCTGTGTCAGAGCAACGCATCATTAGGACTTTCTTCCCCCTCTTTGCCAGCCTCTGGGCCTTATAAGTAGCCTCTACAAGACTGTAAACCAGAAGGTGCAAGTTTTTTGCCCTCTTGAGAGGCTGAAGTTGTGAGGGCGCTGATAAGTATTAAGACTTGCATTACAGTGAATTTGCGAAATAAAAACGCAAAATTCCGTTAAATTTGTTTTCAAACTATAAGTTAGGACTAACAGTATAAATTGCATATTAAACATACTACTCATTTGGTGTGAGCATCGTTAAAATTCAGTAGTATGTTGCTAACATGGCGGTGGCGAGCATTTTCGCTTTGAAGCGGCTACATGATGCTTGTATCAGCAATTCATAAGTTTCACAACCACTCAAAATTAACTTGTGATGATGCACAAGGCTTCACCTTCTCCATTACCATAGCGACGATTTCAGAGTTCATTTTTGGTGTGTTTATGCATCCATTGAAGTCGATTTTCACAAATTATTCTATGCGTTATAACTTGCACCACTTTTGTAGCTATTTTGTTCAGCTAAGAAGGCAATTCAATACGAGAAAGGGGCTGTTGTTGTGGAATTTGAAGGATTCTGCAGTATCGATTTGTAGTAGTAGTTGTTGGTTGTTGCTTCATGGTAATCTTAAAACACGGATACAATTGCGGCTTTATTTAGGATAGTTTGGAACCAAAATGACTCAGTGCTGCTAACGAATGTGCGATCAGAACTTGACATTTGTGGGAATGCCGATTGGCTGAATGTCAAAATGTTCGAATAGCCCAAAAGATTGATCAGGTAGGAGAGTTTTAGACCTCTCAATTAGAAATTCTCCTTCCTTCTTTGGGGATGTAGTCAGAGCATCCAAACAATCACCTCGTAAGAATCGGCCTGCCACAAATTTAACGTCCTACTTGCCTTGATATTAGCTGCCGCCGGTTTGGGATTCAGTTTGACAACACGAGAGGTGTTTTTGGGCGTCTACTCAACTGATCACCCATCTCCAGGCAAAACCCAGCTTCAACAGTCCACATCGAAGGCTCAACAACAAACTGTCCATCTAACGCCAATCTATGGAAGGGCGGTTTGCGTAAAAAGCATTATTCCTGGCGGAGTGGCTCTGAAAGACGGTTCCCTACGAGTTGGAGACCGCCTTTTGAAGGTGAGTTTTTCGCTTATTTCTCTTACACTAATTACAATGGCAGTGGGTTTTGAATAAGCAATAGTGATCTGGAAAAGGAAGAGGGGATAATGGCTTTATAGACTAAGCGTTTTACTGAAATAAATTAAGTACACGTTATTTTGTCAGGTTGATCGCGAAGACGTGTCAACCAAATCACAGGCTCAGATAGTCTCCCTCCTTCGTGTGAAACCCGTCGGTTCTGAAGTTGAACTTGTCGTAAGGCGACCCCAGTGGCTGACTTCTACAACGACGGGGGCGTCAACGTTGAAGAACGTCGACAACGAGCCTACTTATCGAACTCTCAGTCCTGGTTCGAGTCTAGGCACTTGTAGTTGCATGTCACCGCACTGTCCAGACTATGCCCTCCTTCGAGGCCATCGAATGGGCAGCGTGGATGATTCGCAACTAGGAAGCCATTCAGAGGTGGGGCTGTGAATAAATCCTCCACTTTATTTGAAGTAATCCATCCGATTGCCATACAGTATCATTCAAAATTTCGTAGATTTTTGTTTCTGGCCTCACCCGAGCACAATGCATAAAGCTGTTAGCAGAACTTTGAATTTTGACCTTTTGACATGCTCTCATAGGGTAATCTTTTATTCCGGGTTCACTTATTGGGTTATCTTTCGGTAGGTCGAATCATGAGGCAGTAAAGGGACCAACATGGAAACATAGGTGCGATACATCCTTGCTCATAGGTAGAAGTCTTGGTAACCCTTCCCATTTGCTAACACTTAATTAATCTTGAGGCTTTTTCTTCAGCGGCTCGAAAAATGTGTCTATCTGAAGTTGGACATTCCCCTTTTGCCCATGGAATCACAACCCACTGTGGAGACTGACATAGGTGGTGTTGGTAGTGGGGTCGCCATGACAATTCGAAATCGTCTGGCAGCTATGAGATTGGGCGTCAGTGTGCGTGAGGATTTGCCCGAATGGTACCCCAATTCCACCACGGCAAGCGGAATTTTTGTCAAGGGACTTATAGAAGGTGGTGCTGCGCACGCGGTGAGTTCTACATGACTGTAATTACTTGACTCACTTATAAACGTGTTGTTAAGGATAACTGATGCTGTCACAACACAAACTGATGATTTATTTTTGGTAATAGGATGGTCGACTGCGTGTGGGTGATGAGATACTAGAGGTGAATGGCATGTCCTTAGTGAACACTCCCAATCCTTTGGCTCTCTTACGAGCAGTGCTCAAACAGATCTCTTCCCTGACACCCCTTAACGCGACTCCGAATTCCCCTCCCAACTGTCTCAATGATCAAAGTGCCGCATTTCCCGTCGTTCGTCTTCTGATTGCCCGACGTGTACGACATAGACGATCCGCTTCTGGTCACACGGTAATTCCATTTTTCTTGTTCTTTCTACTTATAAGCAAATAAGTAAAAACTACTTTTCATTTTACAAAAATTGAACAATAAGAATAAAACGCCGCATTCACAATTTATGCATTCATGTCAAAAGCTTTTTTAAACCTATTTGCTATGCTTAATTGGGAGAATTGGATTTTGGTTTAATGCTTGCCTATTTTCCCTACACCCAGCCACCATCGTATTGTCTAGAGAGGCGATAGCAGTCCCGATAATTTAACGAAAGGTATTTCAACCCTCCTCACTTCCTTTATCTCTTTTTGCCTGCTTGCAATGCTTCGTGTCTGTTTTCTCCTTTCACACATTATTTTGGCAAAGTGCTTCTTCTTCTTCTGTCTGAGAGACATTGAGTAGTGCTGAAACTTGGAAGCAACTCCAGCACAGCAACAGATCACCCTTTAACTAATTACCTCATGCCTCGAGGGTAAGGTTCTGAATCGGCCCCATAAGGTCCCCATTTCTGCTGTCTACAGCCAAAGCATCTCCTCAAGTTTGGACTACATTGAAACTATCCTTAGTTTGCTTAGCTTTCGTGCTCTTAATGCCCCTTAAGCGAACTTATTGTGGAAGCAAGCGCGCGCCTATTTTAATCGACATGGTCAGAAAGGAAGTGTTAGAAAGGGCCGCGAAAACCAATCTTGTGCTCTCAGGCATGCAGTACTATTCATTAATGAAAACAAAACCGTCCTAAAGTTTCACGAGGCATGATTTTCAAACTTTCTCATTTGGCTTCCAATTTGGGATCAATTAAGCATGACTGCTTAGTTTTCAAATGTTTTGGATGGAGCCGCAAAACATATTGTTATTTTGGTCGTCATTGTTCTTTTCTTTACATGGACACCATTAAGCACACTGATTTACTCTTGCGAAGCTGCAACTTAAATAATTTCAGTATGTGTTTTACGTTTCCTCCTGGCATGTCGACTTGGAACGGTTAGCAGTATCACAGCGCTTGCATTGCTCCGTGGCGAAAGAGACTTTTCCTTCCAGGACTATTATGGACGCTAAACTACGCTAACGTGTTGTTTTATTATTTCCATTTACTGAAGATCGGATCCATTTTCGGACTAGAAACCGCTCCTTATACTGCCTCCGAAGCCGCTGCTCAAGCGGACATAGATAGGACCTCTGCCTTACTTCTCTCGTCACCAAATGACAGTAGTACAGAGGTGCCTTGCCATGCCCTTCGAATCTCCGCCGATGTCCATGCCACTAATACAACCGCTACTGCCACCACAACCTCGTCCGTTATTGAACCGGTTGTTAGGATCAATGCTGGTGGTCTTGAAGACACTGCGCCGAGTCCATCGACCTTAAGAAAAAAGAGGGTAGCCCCTAATCCCGTCCTAAACGCACCCCCGTTGTCACAGCCTTCGAAAAGTGCCGTTGTGCCACAGATGAAAAAAACTTCCAATGAAAAGTGGTGAGTACTCAAAGCAATGAAGGGTAAAAGTGAGTTCGCATGAATATTGAAGGCATGGACACACTGTATTAACTAGGCTTGCTGATGAGCATAATCATGAGTGCTGCTATAGAAGGAAATCGGAACTAAGTCTCATTTCAGCCTTAATTCACCCCCGCTGGCAAACCTATTCGATAAAATCGTTGCTACTGACATAATTAAGTAGCGATAATTTTCCTCGTCGTTTTAGATGTCGCATAAAACGATTAGATGTATGGCCTGCACCCATCAATGCCCTATGCAAATTGTCAAATAGCGTCTCGATCAGTCTACATTCCTTTCATGACAGGTCCTTCTTCATCCCGCCCCTGTGTACATTTCCGCACCTCATTGTCAATCTCTAACGGGTATGCCACAAACACCCATATTTTGATGCAACAAGAGTGATGCTGTCACTAACTCCTGTGGTGCTAAGGTGAAAGAAAACTCCATGACTTCTTTGTCTTCTTCTTGATGCTCAAATAATTGCCAAGAGTAGGACTGGCCTTGACGGAAGCAAAAACAAATTATAAAGTAACAGAGATTAAATGACGTTTCTCTTCCACACACCCGTTCCCTATTCCCCTCTCCCCTTCTCCTGCACCTATCCGTGCCCTCCAAAGCCAAGTTCGTATCTGCTACATTTTCCCACTCCCCTCGTGTCAATAGAGGAAATACACGACCTGGCTAAAAAAAGTTGTAAGAAATGGAAAATGACTACCTGCCATATTCGCCTACCCAAAGTGCAATAAAGTAAAACCCTGTTTTGAAAAAAAAGCTGAGAAAAGAAAGTGCAACAAGCGCCTTTTGTTGTTCTCGCTTCTGTAATTTAGAAATGTCTCGGGGTTTATCATCAATCTTTCGCACTTTGCTCATCGTTTATCGAAATGATGTAAATCGTTTACAAATGAATGATGTTGCACTCCTCTCCACTCTCGAAACATCTTTGGAACTGGTTTCAAGCAGGACCAAACGTGATCCATCGGCTTGGAAACGGAACTTTAGACTGTGCGAGGTCGCCTAGTATCGCTGATCACACTGAAGTTGCATTATGTCACCTATACCAACGCATGATGCAGCATTGAGAACACAAGGCTTTACATTAAACTTCACGAGCTATCAAGAAGGCTTCTGTACCTTGTCGGAGCGAAAGGAATAGACAGACAAGTTAGCTGAGAATTAAACGTTCCACTCTTTTTCTTGTCACCCTGAACCCGTGTCTGCATCAAGATCTCCCTACTCACAAAAACTTCAGTAGCACAAACCTTGAAGTCTTCATGATAACACTTTGTGAACCGCCTTATTCAAATGGAGACACCCCAAATTCGGGGAAAAAATTCAACGGTGCTGAACTTCCTACGATATTACGAACTCCAAACATGAGTAGTTTCAATGCACCCATCAATCCACATCCAATTTCATAAGGTGATCCTATTCACACCCACGAGGAGACAGCCACCGCTCCTCTTCCCAACGAAGGCAACAAAATCTTCAAAAAACTTTCAGGTCGATGTTACGCGGCAATGTATTTGCTTTGCCCATACAATAATAATAGTGTGCAGTAGTATAAATCATCGATCAGGGGAGGCAGCAGTAGACACGTGCGCACGAACCAAACACTAAGGGGGGGTTAACGGAGAGGAGGCTCCGGACAGAGAAGAAGGAAGCGGCCTCAAGCAGAAGAGAAAAAAGAATGATGATGGCGATGATGACAGGCAGAAGAATGGGCAATGAGTGTACACACGCACAGACGGACCGTTACTCAAGGACTGCTGTTTTTTGTGGTGACAATGACAAGGCAGAAGATAAAAAAGAAGGGCAAGAAGGACAAGGTGAATGGGAAAACATCAATTTCACTGGCCACGCCTATATCACTCTCACGTATCCACTAGTTACCCTGACCCAAAAGTCGATCGATTGCGGCGTTTACGTCGCCATGGCTGAAGATCAAGGCTGTAAAGAGAAACAATAACACAAGGATCGCATGCTGTCATGATGTTGGAGTGTGTAAAGCCAGAGTTGTGACATACCCTGCAGATTAGCAGACTGATTGGTGAATCCCATGCTGGCAAGCGTCTGTAATTGCGAGGCGTATCTCACTTCTGGAGGCAGCTGCTGTAGATTACCCTAAAGGGGGAAAATGCGCCGTCTTAAAGGCGTGACAGGCGAAATCTCAGCTATATCAAATGGTACATGGCTGGAAAGGCCGCACTAGTTCTAAAAAAAAAACAGTGACCCTGTGATCTGGGAATGAACCCAACAGCAACTTCCATAGCCGCACTTCTAGGACCAATGGGATTAAATTTGTTTGAGATGAACAAAAGGCGGGAGATAACTTTGAAATAATAGCAAAAGTACATTAGGGGAGACGGTAAAGGGAACGCACAGAATCTTGTCCTGATGGAGCCACATTGAGAAGGCTGGCCATAAGAGAGGCCAATTCCACATTGCCCAACGACGAAGTGTTGGTAGACGCAGGTGTATTGGTGGCGGTTCCTTCCGCGCCCTCTGCAGGGGTAGACTCAGTCGACGAAGTTGTAGTAGTAGTAGCAGGATCAGTTGTGGCGGCACCAAAAGCACCACTACTGATGTTCGTCATGCTGGAGAAGACGTCCGGAGCCTCCTCTTGGAGGATTCGAAGACCCTCTTGGATTTGCGCCATTGCCTGCGCGGGAACAAAGTGCTACATGTTACTTGAACCAGACATCCAATAGATAAAAAACCGAAGACAATTAACTCAGCTAAAGAAGGGAACTGTCACACACACACACACACACACACCAAAACCATTCTACTCACAAGGTAATCGGTAGCTGGAGAGCAATGCTACAAATGAAAACGCGCGCTACTGAAAGAACGCTATGCCAATCATGGAATATTGTTCAAAAGATGACAAAAAAAGCTGCCAGAGTTGATTAAGCATACTGAGGGAAGAGGGAGGAATAGCAAGGCAGCTGCCAATTTTTAATGGTGAATCGAAAGAGAGAAAAACAGCACTGCTTAAGGCTGCAAAGCAAGGGACCGCGAAAAAAGTTGGCCACAATGGCCGACGGCTTCACACAACACACATCATACCACTTAAAAGACACCGAAAATTGTGCCACCATTTAATCGTGTACATGGGAGGAAGGTAGTAAAGTGAAACAGGCTAAGTCTATTTGCAAGGCCTCATTTCACTGCTCAAGACAAAAATTCAACTCAACTCAAAAGTAAAACTTACGCAGCTTGGATTACAAACATGCATACGTCAGTGATGTAATCACTCTCAACCCCACTTTCGAGGGCGATAAACAAGTTTGCTGCAATGCGGTATAAAAGTCGTCCATGCATTCAGGTCGGACGCTTTGAAGCGACTTTCAGAAAAAAAGACTTCACACATTCAGCCACGCCAAGGTGCCACGAGAGACAGGCGGCACAGATCGCAGTGATACACGGCCGCCCCCGCACTCTCATGTGATGGCTACCTGATCCACACCACACACATGTGCGAGCCCGCATTTGCAACAGCACAGCCGCTGGCAGCTGTGATGACAACCAACGAGCAGTTTAGCATTTGCCCCTTGGTAAGTACTAAATGCGCTGACTTTTGACCTCTACCTGGACCAGTGAGATTAAAGAGGAAAGTTCGTTCAACAATTTCTAATCGTGCCGTAATGCGCGTCGGGTGGGAAGATCAGTCCCGGAAAAAGGTGGACTTAAGTGAAGAGCGCAGTGGGAGACGTGGGTCGACAGGGCCTTAAAGCATTTTGCGGGGGAAGTGATGGGAGAGGATGGGGGGAAGACTATCTAGCCCATTTCAGGAAAGCTGCGTGTGTGAGTGCTGCACTGATTTTCTGCTCCGAGTCAGTTATCAAAAGCACGCCCACTCAGACACGCGCTCACACGTGATTTGTGTTGTTTTCAGGTCGTGATAACTGAGCTGTGGGGCGGCGGTAGAAATAGAGGCAGGCAGGAGGTAAGTCAGTCTGCTGAGTGAAGCGAACGGAGACAGATGTCTGGTGAAATTAATGAGAAGAGACGAAGAAAAAAATACTTGGAGTTGCACTGGAGAGAGGGGATTAGACATGCGGACTGTGCTTGTGATGGCGTTACTTTCTGTGAATAAGACTCAAGTAACGGATCTTAATTAGCAAAGGGGGTTGCAGGTGGAAATGGAGCTACTGCGTGTGAAACTGAAGCACCTTCAAGCGTACCATCAACTGCCAGGGTGGAACTCACACTCAAACTAGCCACTTTGCACAATGCTTTTGCTAACCGACCATTTTTTCCTTCCTCTGAGTAAGTGGACTTGAAGGACTATCACCCGAAGTCACAACTTTCACAGTTCGTGAAAGGAAAGAGAAAGCACAATAAAAACATGGAGAAATCAACTACAAAAAACAGACCTTATACTCTCTACGCACTGGAAATGTGCTGGACGCCCAAGGTATAAAGTAGTTCGCACGGAAAAAGGTACTACACCAGATACGGCATTAACGTAACTTCAACAGGAATCAATCCCAATTTATTGAATCAAAGCAAATTGCTTTGTTTGCTTAAATTTGAGGTTAAGGCGTTCTAAAAATTATGCCCCATTCATGCAATCAGCGGAGGACAAGACGCAGTAACCAGCAACACTGATTGAAATATGACTTAAAAGTATCCTCAAATGGAAACTTCACAGAAAGGGCATAAAAATCAAACGAACAGCTCACCCTCATAGCCCGTGGATTGGATAGCATCTCGACAAAGCCGGGTCTACTCATTTGCCTCGCCAGTTGTGGCAACATTCGACGCAAATTCTCCCGCATCGCCGGGTCCTGACTAGCCGCACTCCATACTGGATTGGCTGAAAGAAAGGCTTCAAAAGTCTCAGGGTTCGACGCCATCACATCAAGCATCTGTCGCACGTAGGGAGCCTGGAATGCCGACGACATAGTCTCTGGGTTAAAGGGAATTCCACCAAGAAATGAGGTGCCCGTTGTTCCCCCTCCCGATGACGGTGTTGTGGTAGTTGGGGTACCTCCTGCACCAGCTGTAGTAGTTGAAGATAGTGTCGTGGTCTCTGTTTGTTGTTGCTGTGGTGGCGCCCATGGATTCGGCATTGGCTCATTTGAAGGTGCAGCCTGTCTGCTTGTGTTTCCTAGTAGACAGGCAAAAGAAGAAAAAAATAAGACAGAAGGTTCATGGATTTGAGAAGCTACGGCATAAGCTCAACAGAGAACAAGAAAATAGCACGTCTTCTTTCCTAGATAAGATGACTGGAAATCACACAGTAAGTAGCGCGCTTAGATGTCCCACACGTGGGGTACATTTATTGCCTGTGAAGCTTGGATACACTGGAAGCTGGAAAGATTTCTTATTTTTTGGTAAAGGCTCCTCTAGCAGATATTCGGCATTAGTAATGATAAGAATGTCACTACTCAAAGAAATGGAATATCAGTGTAGCGGCAGAGTAGTTCAAAAAAGGGATAGTAAAAATGGAATGCTGTAAGAGAAGGGCTAAAACAGAAATCTAGACCAAATTCACACTCAGAGAGCCAGCAGCACAACAAATACTTCAGATTTAACAAAGTTTGAAGGGACAGAGAAAAGTGGCGTAAATAGGAACTCCCAACCTCTAGATGGTTGTTTTGATGAACAGATATGCTGCTAACTTAAAAAAACTTAAGAAGGTAAATTCATGAAGACATAAACGCAGCGATATCAAAGCCTGAGTGGCTTGAAATTATATGCCTACCGAAGTCTCACGTAGCAACAAAACGTAAGCATGCAACCATTGTAGCGACCCAAACCAACCAAATACAATGAAATCCAAATTTTAGAGATCAAAAACATCCACCTGTGGCAAACAAGATTCTAACGACAATCTCAACAAAATACAATTGACGAATGGTATAGAAAGCAAAAAACATACTTCGCCCCCTCGGACCTGTGTGGACAAACAAAGGAACGATACAAATCAGCAAAAGTGCACTAACGAAAGATCGACAATAACAGCATTCTAACAACCCACCTGCGAGGTCAGCAAATGGGTTATTAGCATCGCCGCCCTGCATAGCATTGAGCATGGGTTCTTGAACACTTTCGTAGATCCGTTGAAGATGACCGCTACCTCCAGGGATGGATTCGAGATTAAGAACAGCGCGATCATAGGAACGCATCATCTCCTGCACCAGAGACGGATTAGAGGCGATTTCCATGGACTGACGAAGAACTTCTGGATTTGTGAGCATTTGACTCAATTCGGGATTGCGCTGAATGGAGAAGAACACTAAACCTTTCAAAAGTGCAAAAACTTCGACTTCACATATCTAAAAGTTTGTGATGCTGAAATGTTTCGATAATGCTAGCGCGTCACGTGCAATATTTGTTTCTAAGCCTGCTACAAAAAACTGTGATTAAAATACATCGCATATCAGGGACGGTGGAGTCAAAAGTTAAAAGAAATGACGACTGATTTTTTCCGACAGGATAATGGAGCGAGCACGAATGATAGAAAAATGTACCAGTTACATGTGATAGTGAATAAATGCAAAAAAAGCCTAACTTCGAGACGAAGAATGAATAGGACCTCGCTAGAGACCCACGAATTTCAAGTAGCTCAACCTCACTATAAAGGCTAGTTCTAGCAGGGCGAATGAAGCCACAGTAGAAGAGTATAACTAATAGCGCATGGCAGGAAACAGACTCGGCAAATAATTAAGTCCCTATCCAGAAGTAATCGCTGTGATTTTGGTTGTGCCTTTGAAGGAGGGGACAAGATGATACATGTATCAAAAGGAATGCCTCAGCAAGGGCTCCCTTCAAAACCAGTGATTTATTGCCATCCCAAGAAAACAGCTATTTCATTGTGCCATAAAATGCAAAACATTGCGCCCAATGGTAACGCCATCTGTACACACTAAGTAGTTTCCGATTCCATTGAAAAAGGCCAACCCAAATACCCCCACCCAGAAAACTACTGAACTTGGAATCGGAGGTCATTAGGACATTCACAACCAAAACATTTGTCCAGCCAGCAGAAGACCAATCAATTGGAATATTCAAATGTCAACAGCCAGCTGTTTCCATTAAAAGTGGCATTCAAACATGCGTGGCACGCAAGCACACGAGAAAAACTGCACATTATTAATAATCGCAAGGTAAAAAAAGCAGTTCTAAGTCGTCATTTGCTCGACAAACCTGTGTATTCATGAAGAAAGTGCGTTCTATAAGAAGGATCCCCAATTAGTAGTCATCAACAAACAGGTGCGCGATTATCCCAGCTAAGTGTGTTGACTTCTTAAATGATTAAGAGAAATTAATCATTCCAGGTTATTAATCAGTAAGCTAACAATTAAACAACTATTCAGGGCTACAAACTTTGGTTGAGGACATTGGTCAATGACATGACATGACATTACATTACGTTATCGATGGGTCACATCTTGGCACAAAAATTTCGCTCAACAAAGACCTTTCACAGACCAAGATCAATCGACGAGTTTTAGACGAGAGGAAGTGTAAGTAAAATTGCCCGCATTTCGCTAAACCTCATAGTACACAATTTCTCGAAATTCTAAACGCAATGCGATATCGACTTTGTGCACCCACCCTCAGGTAACTAAGGCTAAAAATGTCCCACAATTATTTAGTTGAAATAAACAGACCTCGACGTCCAATGTATAATGTGGAGAAACAAAATGGCACCAAATAGGGCTGATTTAGCAAGTTTAGAACTGTATGGATCACCACTAATGCGATTCTTAGAGAAAATGCGGAAGACAAGCTCACCTCCATTAGCTCACGCATCTGCGGGTTAGATTGCATGATACTACGCATAACTTCAGGATTACTAACAAGAGACTGCACCAATGGACTTTCCATAACATTCCTAAGCAACTCCGGATTGCGCAACACTTGCTGTTGCATTGTCTGCTGCATTGATGCAAATCCGGAAGCTACAAAAGGCAGGTAAATTAGAGGGAATACAGTGGCTTATTCAAGAAGTTCAAGGTATAGAATACACTCACATGATGTATCCGCAGAACTGAAAAATCTGGCCGCAGAAGCGGTAAGAGGATCATACCCACTTGGGCGATTTTGACCTGATGAGTGATGTGGAGCTGTTGATGAAGGAGAGCTCGTTGCTGCCGCCACTCCACCTTGACCACTAGCTCTCTAAAAACGTATGTTCAATTGGAGCAACTAACCTGTGGGTCTTGCTATAAAAGAGATCAGTAAGGAAATAGTCATTTACCTTGATAACTACATGAACCGTAAGGCCATCTTGAAGCTTATGCTCCGAAAGAGTATTTTCATCTTTTAGGATTTTCCCAGCATAGATTAAACACACACGAGAGGGAGTAACTTCAAAAGCCTTTGCAGCTTCCTCACGCAACTACAAGAGTTTACAGTTATACACGAATTACTTCTTTTATAGTCCCATCATCTTTGACAAGTACCGTTTTTTCTTGAGTAGGAGCCTTTAGCTTTAGCGTTATTTCTGACATTGCGCACAGCAAGCACGGTCACCTATTCTGGCTAAATATATATGACGTGGGTTCAAAAGATGTACTTAAGAGCTAATTGTTAGTGCATTGAAACATGAAATAAATCTCATAAATTTCTTGCATGCTTTACAGCATTATTATAAATATTTTTTACGAGTTACTTATGTTTTTATTTGTTCAGACAAACAAAACTTAAAATATTTTTGCGAATGCACTGCTTTAAACTTCCGAAATGATTTGATTACTCATGACGCTTTTTAAATGCGACTAATCCGATGTTCTGCAGTCGATTTGGTGTTCATTCTGGTTATGTCATACCACTGCCGCTTCTCTTTTAAAGTAGACATTCTGCCAAGTTTAGTGACATCTACTACCAAGCGAGACATCTTGACTAGGTATACTGCTGTTCGTAAAAATTTTTGGGAAGCCTTGTAATGCCTTGTTTATGCGACTATCTGACGTTTGGCGGTCACTTTAGGACTTGTCTGGGCCCCGTACACGTGGGCTGGCCTTCGGGCCACGCTCAGGCTCCATTTCTTCTATTGCTTTCGGAATACATGTATTCAACCCCACTTATGCCTTCTACTACCCCATTGGAAGCCTCGGGACGCTACAAGCCTATTCCTTGCTAAAGATAAAACGCAACCGGGTAGAAGGGGCTTTAAATGGAGCTGAATTCACGTGTTCTAGGGAGAAAAGGTGATTAACTCTGAGCTTTCTGTGAGCCAGCCCTCACATACAAGGGACGGACGAATCTTGCAGTAACGCTAGACATCAAGCGGTCACATAAAAAAGTACTGCATGAATACCTTTTATCAGTCTTGGTCTTCAAGTGGGGTGAACTAACGACTCATCCATCAATTATATATGCATATATATATTGCAATGGCACCTGAGATCTTTGGATCATTTTTTGTTTAACGGCAATTTATCTCCTATTATCTATGTATAGTGACGCACACTAATTGTATAAAGTGTCTTTTAGTTTGGAGATGAGATTTCATTTCATTTGCATTAATTTCTGTAGTCCGCGATCAAAAATACTGCTCTTTAAAACGAACGCGTTTGTTAATCGGCAACATATTTTTTGTCCCTGAGACTTTGCAATTGGTATTACGGTGCGCATGGCGTGGCTAAAATCTTGCACGAAGATTAAGCTCTAAGACACTGGACTTTGACATGGCCTGAGATCGGCTCACCTGGCAAAAGAAGATGATCCCGCTGTCATGAATATGAATCTATTAGTAGTTCAAGAACAGATTTTTGCTTTTACTGCAAATGCGCAGTCACTTCGATGGCTATCGGGCTTCTGCTCAAAAGGGTAATTTTCATGCCAGCCATAGCTTCACTTATTTTCTGTCAGAATGTATTCTCAATGCCTTCTATTGCCGAATGAGAGGTCTGCTCGCTTATGATAGGCAGACTTTCCTTCAGTGAGAGGGTTGGCTTTTACCTTTACCCTTCACACAAATGACGTGGTAATGCTGTAACACATTGCATATTAAACCACCTGATGTCTAGTGGTTACTTTGATGCTCACCTTGTCCCTTTACACACAGATTGACCTTCGAGTCAAGCCAAAACCACTCCATCTGAAATCATTGCTCTGCATAATTGCTGAACCCTTTCTTTTATAAAATGCATAAATTTTGACCAGGCCTTACGTATTCCTATGTTCATGGGATTCTCGGGGCACGATACACATTCCATTTGGGTTGAACCCCGTTAATATAAAAACGAAACAAGTTTCATGGATCCAGATTGCTGGTGCTGAAATACTTGGTTTATGTGACCACATGACTTTTGGCGGTCATTTGAGGATTTGTCTGGCTCTTGTAGTCATGGGCTGGCTTTCGGACCATGCTCAGTTCCGACTGCTCTGTTCCCTTCGGAATACATGTATCCAGCTTTACTTAATGCCTTCTTTCCTCCTGACTCTATCGAATTGCACTACATGATGATACAGGCAAAAAGGAGACGTGAATTGAAGGAGGCACATTTACCTTGGTGGTGGGCGAATCTCCGAAGTCTTCACAACGAAAGGATTTCGACTGACGTCTGCATTTGGTTTCACATTATTCCCGTGTTCCACAGACAAGCTATTAACGACTGAAGCGACACTGCCGTGAAGTATCTGGAAAAATTTTGTGTCGGACTTTCTCATGCGAATTCCGTGTTTAGGTGTATGAAATGACACCACGTTTCTCATCGCATATGGGACAGTGGCTCATCCCGTTTTCCTTGTAACATATACGTTTTAGGCCAGAGTTCCACCATCTATTCCTTGAAGCAACTGATAGTCAACAGATGTATGCGGCCCCGAATCTGTTTGCCAGACTGGCACCGTTGGTCTGCAGGTCCTTTCTTGTAGTATCGAATACGTTGTGATGTCTGGCGCTGGAGGCGCACTAAGAGGAGCGCCGAGAACGTCGCTCAAAAGAAACGAGGGGCAGTGTAATGCTTTGTTTATGTGTCGGCATGCCGTTCGGCGGTCAATTTAGGAATTGTCTGGTCCTTGTACACGTGAGCTAGTCTTTGGACTATGCTCAGATCCGTTTGCTCTGTCCTCTGCGGAATACATGAATCCACCCTATGGGAAGTCGCGAGACGCTACAAGTGCTTTTGCAAATACAAGGCAATAAATAATGCGCTGCAAGTTTGCAAACTACAATTGTAGGTGTTCTCGAAATGCAGCAGCGTGATTATTTCATGCCATAGTACATATTTTAAAAACTTACTAAATGAATCATTGACAAGGCAACTCTCCACGGCACTAACACTGAGTCTGATTTTATTATTGGTTTATTTGACCGCCTGATTGTAGCATCCCGAGACTTCATAGCCGGCATAGGAAGTCAGTAAATGCAGACGGATACATGTATTTCGAAGACGACAGGGCAAACTGGCCTGAGCATGGCTCTAAGGCCAGCTCACGTGTACACTGATATCTGTTGGTTACTATGGTGTTTGTTTTGACTTTGTACGCATGGTCTGGCCTCCGGACTCTGTCAAGTTCTATGCGTTCTTCTTTTTTTAAATTTTATATATTCTGCCCAACGTGATATCTTCTTCTTAATTAAGAAGTTTTGAAGCGTTGAACAACCATACTAAGGTTCTGCTCCATCATTAAGCAGAGGTTTTTCTAATGTTAGATTATCCTTTTGTTTATACCAGCACGGTGCTTGCTGACTTTTACATACCATAATTTCTATTGTACTATAACGTGGCATATATTTTTTCTACGAGTACACAAGGTCTTCTCATGTAACTAAGAGGCCAACTCGTTCATTGAAGGCAAACTGATATTGGTTTGAAATTATAGCGTCACTATAAGAATAACCAAACTCGTACTAAACTAGTAAATGCTAAACTTGATGTGGATGGACATTAAAATGCTGTACTGAAGTGGTTTGATACTAGCTAAATAAAGCACTTTTAGGATGCGTGATTCTCGCTTAACTGCTTTTAGATTATTTAAGTATTACGTTGTCTTTTGGTCCCCAATGCATCATGCTGTACATGTGGAACTGCGAACTTCAATTAGTGCATAGTCATATTCTGCATTAGTATTTCTTTTATTTTTGATCGCCTTCCTTTGAGCTAGAGTTCAAAGACACGTCAAAATTTTGAGTAAACTTCCTTTGGTTTCAGTCATCTGAACTTTCGGCGCACTTTTTGTGGGAGCTTGGTGGGCTCTACACGTCATTTGCGCTTGCTTGGACCTATTATTTTAGCGTGCGGTAGCAGCGTGTAAATAGAACTTTCTAAATAAATTGGTTTTCATTATGCCCCTCCGATTGGACGTACGCAAGAAACTTTCATCGCGTTCCGATCGGGTGAAAGCTGTTGATCTTCATCCCTCCGAACCATGGATTTGTGCTTGTCTTTACAACGGGAATGTGCATGTTTGGAATATCGAGTCACAACAGTTGATCAAGACTTTCGAAGTCTGTTCTGTTCCTGTTCGTGCTGTTCGTTTTGTCGCGCGTATGAATTGGATTGTTACTGGTGCCGATAATCAATGTGTACGTTTAAATTTATGAATCCTTTCATCCTGTAATATTACTTTAAAATGAGTATTGATTTTATCCTTTAGCTGACTGTTTATAATTATAACACCTTGGAACGAGTGCATCAGCAGGTGGAAGCACACGGAGATTACATTCGCTCGATTGTTGTGCATCCATCACAACCACTTATCCTTACATGCTCGGACGATGTGACGATTCGGCTGTGGGATTGGGAGAAAAATTGGAAATGTGCTCAGGTTGATTATATCGCAAAGTTTGATTCAACATATTTTATTGTTTGATTTTTACACTTTCCGTTAGAAGTTGTCTCAGGGTCTCTCTTGCCAAATGTTACCTCTTATGCTCATACATGTCCTATTTCCTCTACTTAGGTTTTTGTTATTTGAAAGAGTGGTATATTGCATACTGCCAAGAGAATCATGCATTTACCTTTCATTTTGATTTCATGCATTTATGCGTCCATTCATCCATTCTGCCATAAACACACCTGCAACTTCATCAATGACCACATCCATATTTGCCCATTCACTTGCTCAACTGCCCCCTCTACTTATCCCTTCATCTTACTTCCTGTCCATATCTCCACTCCAACTTCTTTTTTGTTACCTGAAGATCTTCAATGGTCACTCACACTATGTGATGCAGCTGGTGATCAATCCAAAGGACAACAACACCTTCGCCAGTGCCTCGCTCGACTGTACGGTGAAGGTGTGGTCACTTGGCTCACCACAGGCTAACTTCACGTTGGAAGGTCATGAGAAAGGTGTGAATTGTGTGGACTATCATCCAAGTCCAGATAAACCTTACTTGGCCAGCGGGTCAGACGACCACACGGTGCGAATTTGGGACTATCAGACAAAGCTTTGCGTGCAGGTGCTCGAGGGCCATGTACAGAATGTCACGTAGGTTTCTCATGCGACTCATCCATCTACATTGCTTCCGCCAACTCTCCTCCCCATTCAATATTCCCCTTCGGAGTGGTAAATCTTTACCACATCCGGCCTTAAGTTTATTCCCTCGTTCTTGATTGTTCCAATTGTTGCTGATTCACCATATTAATCCCTTCCTTCATTGTTGACCTACTCATCTAACTGGGAAGAGCAGGTTTTTTCACCCTATCGATCTCCCACCTGGATTGTTTCCATTTCCATTCTATCATTTTAGCGCCCTTGCTTTCCACACCGAACTTCCAGTCATTCTCACTGGTTCTGAGGATGATACCGTACGCGTGTGGCATTCCACCACGTACCGCCTCGAATCAACTCTCAATTACGGTCTGGGTCGCGTTTGGACCGTGCAGTGTCGTGGGGTGGGCGGACGCCAGACCGTTGTAGGCGTGGGCTACGACGAAGGCACTGTAGTGATTGCACTCGGTCGTGAACACCCTGCCGTATCCATGGACGCCTCAGGCAAATTAGTGTGTGCCCGACATAGCGAAATGGTGAACGCCAACCTGCGCTCCGTGATCGCAGCAACAGTGGCAGTGGGTGGGGGCGGGGGCGGTGGTGCCCCAGGAACTGCAGAAGGAGCTGCAAGAGAGGGTGGAGTAATTGAAGTGAGGACTTGTTACTGCCATTCCATGAATAAACAAGGAAGCCGACAATTAAATCATGATAGAGCTTGTTTTCTTGCCTCCATTTTATTCATCCGCCCTTCCACGGAGAGAACGGATGCTCTCTAGAAGTGGGGAGGTGCACATTTCCTTTCTCCATTTCTATGCAATAAATTGTTTAGCCAGGCACTTTCGTACATATTCGTTCTGGGTCCGTCCTTTCATTGACAAAGGCAACTTTCCCCACGACTTCGAAAGTTATTGTCCACTCACTCTCACTTACATTCAACTTGTACTTCTAGTGATCATGATTGCCTCAAATTTTAGGATGGAGCTCGCTTACCAGTGGTCTACAAGGAAATGGGTGCTTCGGAAATCTTCCCCCATACAGTAGCTCACAACAGCAACGGTCGCTTTTTAGCGGTCTGTGGCGATGGTGAGTACGTCATCTACACAGCGATGGCCCTGCGTAACCGGACTTTTGGTTCAGCTCTCGAGTTTGTTTGGTCACAGGCTGATCCGAACGTTTATGCTGTGCTGGAGAACAATTCCACCTTCAAGGTTAGCATCCACGTGTCCTCGTTTCTCCATTTTAATGAAATAGCCAACTTTTGCGTTCCTTCTTGCCTTGTAGATTTTTAAGAATTTTAAGGAGGCCAAATGCGTAAAAATGGATTTTGGAGCAGATCAAATTTTTGGTGGACACTTACTAGGCGTTCGCTCAGTGGCCGGATTCACGTTCTACGATTGGTCGACTGGTGCGTTGGTGCGCCGAATCGACGTCTCTCCAGTGTCGGTTTATTGGTCGGAAAATGGTAATCAAGTGGCTATTTGCACAAAAGATACCTTCTACATCCTTCGATATAGACCAGAGCTTATTGTGGAAGCCATGGCTCAAGGCGTCTCCGATCCTGATGGCATTGAAGCCGCTTTTGAGGTAATCATCAACTTACATTTTGAAAGCTGGTGTCAGCTTGCGTGAAACTTCATCCGCCGTGGATCCATTACACTCCCTCACTCCTCTCATTGCCAATGAATCTCTTTCAGTTAATTCCTGATGGTGAAGTTAAGGAATCCGTAAAGACCGGCTGCTGGTTTGGTGAGGCCTTCCTCTTCACTAACTCCACGAATCGTCTCCAGTACTACGTAGGCGGTGAACTCGTCTCCGTTGCCCATCTTGATCAGCCTATGTACCTCCTCGGCTACCTTGCCTCCGAAAGTCGTGTCTTCCTCATTAATCGCGATCTCAAGGTAGGGCAAAGTTGTAGTGGTAAAGTCCCTGTAGTCTATTTCGCTCTACTGGTCGGCTTTCTTTATCACGAAAAGGTTGTCAGCTACACCCTCTCACTCTCTGTTTTGGAGTACGAGAGTGCTGTACTGCGTGGTGACTTCGAGTCCGCCGATGCCATTCTTCCAAGCATTCCGACATCAGCGAGGACGAAGGTGGCTCACTTCTTGGAGCGTCAGGGATTCAAGCAGCAGGCCATGCGAGTGACCGTGGACCCAGAACATAAATTTGACCTTGCCATCCAGTTGGACGACGTGACCACAGCGCACGAATTGATCAAAGGGGAGGAGGATGTGGAGGGAAACGAGGCAAAGTGGAAACAGGTGAGATTGTTGCAATCCTGCTACCTCCTCGGACGGATAAGTGGATATCGAACTGTGCACTCACCAATGTCAACCATTTTAGCTTGCGGAAGTGGCTTTAAAGGCGTGCAACTTCTCCTTGGCTCAGGAATGTTTCGCTATGACGCAAGACTACGCAAGTTTCCTCCTCATCGCCAGCAGTTGTGGTGATGTTGACATGATGCAAAAGTTGGCCTCCGATGCTTCTGCACAGCAAGTTGATAATCTCGCCTTCCTTGCTCATTTCCTGCTTGGCAACCTCGAGGCGTGCTTTGAGGTCAGTTGGGATTTAAACCCCCCCCCCCCAACCGTCTAAAATCTATTCATCAAAGATATATTTTTCTCGGCTTTCTAGATGTTGGTAAAGGATGAGAAATACCCTGAGGCGGCGTTCTTTGCGCGCACCTACCTCCCGAGTAAGGCTTCGGAGGCGGTGGAAAAGTGGCGAAAGTGGCTTCAAGCCACGCATCCAAAGGCGGCTGAAGCTCTTGCGAATCCATCTCAGTACCCAAATCTTTTTCCCCACTGGGAGGTTTGTGGACTATAACGTACTCTCTGGTCCTTTTCTTAATTCTAAAGGTCCAATCCCTGATTCTATTTGCTAGTCTAACGCTACTACTCATCAGGCGTCCAAATTGGGCCTCTTACATTTTGACTATCACGTTTGTGCGACTGCAACACGACCATCGTGGTTGGTGTCGTCGCTAAAAGGAAGGGTGACGAATTATCGCCTTTCGCCCGTGGCGTTAAATGTTATCATTGACTTGCACAATTTCACCTGACGCAAAACCCTGATCCTTTCCAGCATTCTTTTTGAAAAGGATTTAAATTATACTGCCTTTCAGGAGTGTCTTGCCGCAGAAAAGTGGCTGGCGGAAGACCATAAAAAACACAAAGGATTGCCCGCCACAGCCTATCCCCAGGAAACACCTTTGTGGGAACGCAATATCGCCGAGGAGATGATCGCGTCCAAGCCCCTATCAGCTGACCTCATGGATGTTGAAAATGAAATGGAGTTCATGCCAACCCCACCCCATGATCCAGTGGAGGAATTATTCGGTACTCAAGACGGGCTAAAAACAGAGGAGAAGACAAAGGATGGATTTGCGCCTTTTCTCGACTTCGAAGACGAGCCCAGGAAGTTAAGTCCCCAATTTTCAAAATCTCCAGAAGAAAAAATAGAAGGGGAGAATATTCTTGCGCCTCTGGAACCCCCAGTCCCGGTTATTGATGAAGGCAAGAGCGATCCCATCGATGAGTTGCTGAAGCTATCGGAAGTTCACATAACGAAAAGTGCTCCTCGAAACGACATAGAGGAGGAGGAAGAACAAGATGAGGAGGGAGAACAAGAATATTCATTTCATGATGCTGGACAGCAGGAAAATGCACCAAATCCATTTACATCCCTCTCCACCCCAGGAAAGCAACTCTTCGGATTGGACGACTTTGATGCAGAATTGGAGCATCAGTTGGCAACCTTCAATACTGCCCCTAATGAGAGCCTTCAAAAACCCTCAAACGAGGGGAAGAAGAAAGGCATCACCGACGATGGTGGCTGGAGCGACGAAAGCGGTGATGACGAATATGAGTGAGGAAATTTGTGGTTACTCTTCTTTCTTTCCTTTATTATTATATGCGACGCGGTTTTTTTGCTTCTATAGAGTATGAATACAGTTTAAGAAGAAATTTCTGATATTGTTTTGCATTGTTCTTTTGACATCACCAAAGAACTGTCAGAGACCTCAAGTAGTGTAGATAACAAAACTGTGATGACCATGATGGCACCTCATCAACACGTAGGTCATTGCTTCGATTAGTCCATTTTAATCCATTTTGGATACTCGGATTCTCTACTTGCTCATGCGACACGGTCTTCGCACTCCCTGGGTGGTGCAATTGAGCAAAAAAGAACACAAAGGACAGTGATCAGGCATAATTTTAAAGTCACGAGGGGAAGAACACAGACAACCACCAGTAAGTGCTTCCCTAATTGACATCTCCTTCTGCGGGAAATCCGAGACTCATTCGAACACTTCGCATTGCCATTTCATCAAACAGTTTGCGATTCTCTCGCCACGTCTTTGCCGCGTCGACGTTGGCTGCACTCTCATCATTCGGTTCTAGAGGCATAAACCAATGTCTACTCACCTCGACATCGTGAGGTGGGAAAACGCCTTCAAAGCACGTTTCACTCACCTGCCAACATACTGACAACGGAAAGGAGGATTTTTTCCACCGATTGAACCGGGCTCCATCTTTCTGCGGGTGTCTCGTAACCAAGAGGATCGTTGCCGGGAGTGTGGAGGATGGAAATGCATACCCGACCGTCGGGGTAAACTAGAATGGACGTTTCAAAGGGCAATCATAAACGAACACTACGGCTCATAACTTATAAACGAAATTTAATTTAATTTTCACCGTACAGAGCTTATTTTCAGTGGTTTGAGACATCAAAGAAAAGATTTTTGTCTAGCTAATGAATGCGGGTAACGAAGTCACAAGCAACATTGAGGAGGATCACGATTCCACTATGTCGTTAATCTGTTTAGACAGGTAGCACGTGGAAGACAAACCAAAGCTAACGCCCTCAGTGCTATAAAACACGAATAAGGATGGTGACGCAGAATTTAGTTACAAAGAAATGAAATGGTGGTGGATGACTCGAAGCAGTTTGACCCAAAAACTGCAACTTTCGGGCGGATTTAATTCGAGCTATCTCCTGCACATCGTCCATTTACACTTAGAACGATAACAGTGGTATACAAAGCATCCTCTACTGTCGCCAAGACAGCAACAGATCCTTTACAAACGTAAAGCGTCCATCTTTAGACCACTCGACCCGAACCTCAATGTTTTTTCCACTCGAATGGCGAGCAACTAATAATGAAATCAGCTGCACGCGAAACATTTGCGGCTGCGGTACGGATTCGAACTAAAATCATGAACAGCGTAAAATTGGATTAAAATCCAGAAAACTAACTTCGAAGCACATCCATCTGTATTGTGAACTGGGCGAGGTGAAGTCACCGTGAGTTACAGAGTAAATTGAACAAGTTTCAATGAGAAAAGTTTCCCCAACGGCGCAGACAAATGTCTAAACACTATAAAACCACTTAAAGCTCACTATTTCGTTGCGAGAAGCCTGTTAGGGAGCAAAAAGCGAATTTTAAGCATTCAAATCTGATTTATTTCAATTGACTGACATTCATGAGTTAGCTGTTAAAGCACATAACATAATTGAGCTCCGTTTGGAAAATGCAAATTATTTTCAGAAGGATCACAAAATTAGCTTTGAAAATTTCAAGGAATTGGTGCAATAAATTGGCATAAAGTAAGATTCGTCGAGGAACTAAACAATATTTTTCGATGACTGAGGGTGGGGATTTTGTAAAGATGCTTGTAAGAATTCACATACAATGCAAATCACAAAAATAAAAAGATCTTACTATTAGGATGGAATATGTTGCTAATAAACCGCATTTTCGGAGGCGATAATGGGTAGTCAGGCGGGAAGGACAGGCGCGAAGCGAAAACTCCACCCTCAAAAGGTGTTCCATCGGGACCCCTAAGGTATTTTTAAAAATCCAACTATTGCTAGTGCCAACCAGGTGTAATAATATTGATGCAAATAGTGTGGGTAGAATTCAAGTGATTCTCTCCTTTAAACTGTAAAGAAACAGACCTTACAAATTGATGAAACAGTCTAGTTATCTGATTCTACAATGATGCTAGGCATAAAACTTACATAATGAAGGCCTCCCACTCAAAGAAATTTGATTCGTCGACTGGACCCGCCACTATTCCTTCCGGAGGGTTATCGGTAAGTTCTTAAAAGGGAAAGTCATCATTCGAAAAATGGGCATTTCTACCATGACCTCACAAAAAATATTTCTATCGGCCACAACAGTGCGCTCACGGGTAGGTAAAGACGCAAAGCCAGAAATGAACGAACTCACGCTTGTATTCGGCCATCAGCCTTTTGAGTGCGCTGCCGGACGTCATTTGCCGCTATCGAAGAACTAAGTACAACCAATTTAGAGTCGACGCCTCAAATTACAGCCAATAATAATACAGTAAGTTTTGTACAAAATTGCATAACTCGCATAACGTATCTCTCACAATTTTAGTTTTGTCCTTTTAACTACTTTGCTTATTTGTAAGAGTTAGGAAGTTTGAGGCAAAAATTCACCACACTTTCCTTCAAAATTTAATTAGCAAATAAAACTGCACTTTTGCACGTTGCACGGTTGCATTTCTATTCTTATTAATTTCAAACCTTCATAGTCAAGCCTATGCTTACACAACGATGATGTTCCAAGCAGCTACTGCTAAGGATACGTGTCTAGTTCAACCCTAAAAATTAAGTTATGTACAATCGTCGAGACTTCCCGTAGGGTAGAAAATGACATCACTGTAGCGTCTCGAGACTTCCTGGTTGGTATAAGAAGTCAGTAAGTACAGCTGGAAGAAGACGAGATGGCAAATTGTTCTGCGATTGGTCCGAAGACCAGCCCACGTGTACAAGGGCCAGACATATCCTACAGTGACTGCCAAACATCAGGTAGTCAGATAAACTAAGTACTACAATCATACTAGGCAGATTTCATGTATTTTAGCAGGAGAAGTAGGGATAGGACCTTGGCTTTGATCGAAGTGCATCCCTAGTGTTAAAAATCAAATTGAATACCACAGTACCTGTCAGACAAGCCACTGGTCACTTGCATAGAGTAATATATCATGTACAGAATATGATAATTATATAGCTTTACCGAATCGATTATTCATGTTGCTTTTCTGTAATTCTCTGCTTCTTCAGGCAGATGCTTAGATTCGCAATATTAATGATAAGGTGCGTCTTAATTGAAGATTTCCGAAAAGAACATTTGAGGAATGCGATAATTGCGTCTAAGCGTTACTAAGGCGTTTGGCTAATTATACGACTGTCTACTTGTTAGGTTGGAAGCAATAAGGAGTGTGATGTCAAAGACATTGTTTGCATTTATGTTGCCGTGAAGGTGTTAAGGAATTGTTATTTCGGATGGCTACGTTTGAGCGAGGAAGTGTAAGCAGTAATATATGTTTAGTGGGAGAAAGGAAGTGAATAGGAGTGATTAGTACTGGTGAAAATTGTGCTAAGTGGATGGCGTTTTGGAAGAAGAGAGGGGATAAGATAACTAGGACTGAAAGTGTATATGTTTGGCAAGAAGAACCTATTTCAGATTCTTAGGTCATTTAAGAAAAGTGGGTGTTGCTCCGGGATGTACTCGCTAAAGTTTGTCAAAAATGGTATTGGTCTGGATTTGGGACGAAGCTTTGAACTTATGCGTTCACTTCCACTTACTGCCCTCTATTTGGTGGAAGTCTCGGGATACTACACTCTTAATCGAGCTAAGTAAGGTGAAACCGAAAGGAAGAAGTGGTTCCTCAGTGGAACCAACGGATGAGGAGAGAGTAAAATTTAGGCAGATTACGTGCATCTACTTATTTGTTGACAGTAGCATTTGCTGCAACTAATAAAGATGGAAATTAGATGCTTGGACTGCAAATGGAAAGGTGGAGGTGTCACAGGGATAGAAGATTGGCAGGTTAAGCCATAATGATTAAATGACGGCTTTAATTATGGTTAAGGGATGAAAATTAAATAAAATTTGGATGAAATTTGTCGAATTATGAGGATAATGAGTGGTAAGTGTATCTGTCAAACTGAGGTCTCTTCCTAGTTGAACGGATAATTCGATTGTAAGTGTCCATTTGTGGCAGGATCTGCATTATGGTGACTGAGTTGGAGTCTGACCGAGCAAAGAGTAGAAAGGGGCTGCATAATACTTCTCTTTCGAGAATGTAAATGGGAAGCATAGGTGCCGCCTTTGAACTTTCGATAAGCCTTTACTCATAATCATCTACTGCTGTACATTATGACATCAATGACATTTACTGATTTTTTTTAGTCATGTTTGCATGAGCTAAGATCGAACTCCTTTCTGCCAGTGCAGTAAATGGCAGACGCACACATCGGTGGTGCATCATTAAAGTGCGAGTCGTCGAGTAAACCTCTCACGATAAGGAGGTGCTACCAAAAGCACAAAACATCTGAGTCACGATGGTCAACTTTTAAAATTTGTGAGCACCAGACCTCTACTTTTCGTCGCATAGTGCCCATGCTTAATAATGACCGCCTCCTTTATAGCTTTCCACCACCTGCCACTACATCCTCCCATATTTTTTTGTCTCTGTGGTTTGTTTTATGTTGCGGCAATTAAAGAATTATGCAATGTCGAGGAGGATGAACCTAAGGCGTCCCTTAGAGTTTTCCCCTTGGTGATTTTCCCTTTTCTCTCCTCCCTTGGTGGACAATTTTGAATACGATTTTACATCTGTTTTGCACCATACATACACGCATACACGGAGAAAGAGACGCAAGAAGCTAGTGCCGCCTCTTAACGACACAATGATGGTGTGCTCTTCAGAATTGTGGAGTAATGGGCGGTAAGTTAGTAAACAAACGCCTACACGTAGTTGTAAAATGTAAGAGGAGTGCGTACAGTTGTCATCTGGTGGTAAAACTGAATACTAAAGCAGGACAGGCCTAGATTGGATGTTTTTGAGCATCTTCATCCTTTCCAAAGGATGATTTAGCCTTCTCGATATTACTGTACTCGCCACAACTTCCCACACTCTACTCCCAACGGATCATTTTTATAGCTGCTTCTCTATCCTGCAGGCACCTATCCGTTCATCCAACTTGGCAGATTTTTGAGGTAAATATATAAAGTGCTGTTGCACCCTCAGACCTTCCACTTACATCACTGCTGAGTCATACTCCTTGTTAAATGAATATAAATGTCAAAATGTCCAGTTGAAAGAAAGAGAGGGTTACTAACAATGCTCGACGCTATCCTTTGCTTGCCGTCCTCAGTGTCTTTCAGTGCTAACCAATGGGAGTGAGGAGGAGCAGCTGATTGGTCCACTTCAACTGGCCAATGGAATGATTGAAGATTGCTTCATTTCCCCCTGGGCCGCGTACTTTAGCATACATAAAAGGCATACCTGCCACCAACAAACTAACAGCCAAACGGGTTCCATTTGTAGGTCCCCTCATTTTGCCGTCATTATTGTTCAGCTCTATGTAAATATTTAGTCCAATCATGCCGAATTTTTAATGAAAGTGCTTTAAAACACCCCTTAAGTGCTGTTTTGTCACCCTCCGTTTCTTATGAACTAAAACATCAAAAACCCACCAACCGCGTTATTTGCTAAGTCAAGCTCCCACTCTGTAGACACCTCTGTTTAAAAAGTATTTAGCCTTATGCACTAACAGAATCCAAATTGTAACTTATTTAAAAAGTAGCCACACGTGGGTTTATTTAATCGCAGGGGAACAGCCAAAACACCATCCCGCTTGTGGTTCTCTCATTCCATCAAAGCACTACAATTACCCAGCCGAGCATGTAAGGGGAGCTGAAAACCTTTTAATGCATAGCGAGTGGTTTATACTTTGCCAAAGACCATTACCAAGCAATTTGATGAAAGAACTTCAGTCTTCGATAAAACACTTGACAAAAGCAGTTTTCAATTTCGCTTTGCAGAATAAGAAGCAGAAAAGTCCCCTCAGCCATGCGCGGGGAGGAGTTTTTTTAAGTACTTTGTTGCTTATAAGGCATTTTGTTGACCGAGGAGAGAAGACGTAAGGCGATTTCTTGGCCTTATAATTCTGCTTTTTTGGGGCAGGGATGCACTATTTTTGCCCCTTTGAGATGTATTTTCTCCTCCTCAAACACCGCGCGCACTCTGGCCAGCCTATGCGAAGGAAAAACTAGAACATTTTATTCTCATTAGACATTTTGCCATAATCAGAAGTGTTACATCGTTTTTAAAAATGTCATTTGGACAAGGTGGGAAAAAAATGGGGCAAAGATGTAGAAACGCTAAGCACAGTGGGCCGCCACTGGAAGAATTGAAGCACCAAAAGTTAGTTACATTTGCTTTTAGCGAAAGATAGAATTTCATTTAAAATGTTCCGTTGTCATAAAAAACATTTTTTTCCCAAAAAGTAAAGTGGAAAGTTCTAATGCTACTGGCACGACAGGCAAAAATTTCTCCCAACACCTCTTTCTTCTCCACTTACGTTAAGATGTTGTCACATTTGAGCAGCGAAATTCTACGACTCTCTCCACCTCCAATTAATCCGCACTCGAGTAGTCTAAGAGGAAGGAGAGCGAGCAGGCGAGAAGTGAGCCGCTCATCAAGGCTTGATTAATGATTTAGCCGACGCAGATTATCAGTTTCCGCCTACTTAAATGATTTGTGAGTAGAAGAGTGCCATAGCCTCTAATACAGATGGTGCTGCGGCTAAGGTAAGGGCAACTAGCAAAGGTACGTGGACAGCCTCGTCACCTTCGTTTAAGTGGTGAGAATGTCATCTATCAAGACTTTTAATGTTTGCTGCAACAGCAAGCAAATAATTTTAACAAAGACTATCACGTTGCTACTCCATCTCTCGCCAAATAAACATTCGCTGGCAGGGCTGTTGGTGGATGACACAGACACATGCCTCCCTGCATTTCGATTTGGCTGCAACGATTTCATCTCGGTGGGCACTGGATACAAAATGCTAGGGTTCTCTCTTCACTCTCATTCTCCACCTCAGCATTTGAGGAGGGAGAGGAAAAGGAGAAGGCGAAGGAAGGAAGGAAGGAAAGAAAGGGCACATGCCCAACAACGAAGGGTCTGGTCCTTTGACGGTTTTGGTTTTCTCTCAGTACAAAGGGAATTCATGGCAAATAGCAGAAGGTTTGGGTTCTCATAGCTATACAATCTAATGTTTATAGACCTTAATAAAATCACTCTCTCGCAAGGAGGATTGTGGATTCTGAGCTAAGTTATGGGTCTTGGTCTTTTATCTCCATAACTGGCAAGGGGTGATAAGGTTGACTGAATAATAGATGCTATGCTTTTTCTTGGCGCAGACCCTTCCAAATGCCGCTATCACTACAACCGATGCGAAAGCAATTTACTTATCTTGCAACCAAAGCTAGAGAAGATAGTCAAGCTACGATGTCTGGGTATTTGTGGAAGAAAAACGCCTTCTCTGGCAAGTGGCGACAACGGTAAGCTTAATGCATCATCCGCTACTACTCAAGATGCCAATTAAGTAGTATACGTGTTCGCCTAGTAATCATGCATGCAAAAGTGGGTAAATTGTACAGTTTATGTTTACCTGACAAAAACTTCGCCAACCTCTTCTACGCACCTCAATGCTGCATGAGCTAAGTCATCTCTAAGAGTCGAATTAACAATTCAGATGCTGTGCATCACTGGAAACACTTCTGCAACAGCAACAGCAGTAGTGCTACTAGTCACCAAGATAGTGATCGACTGTACCTCCTCCCTGTCATTTAAAAAGCGACAAGTAATGCGTTTGCTTAATAACCGGACTGAGTTCTTCCCCTTGAAGTATCAAGAAAAGACTAAAGAGGGCAATAAGGCCTTCTGCAGAAGAGGTGATACGGAACGACTGGACGCCTATTGCTTGCGTGTATGTGTGTGTCAGACGGTGTCGCAGTTTTAATGGGCCGGGATGACTGACATGAATGTGTTTCTCGCCATCTTTAATCAACATTTCTCGCCTATCACTTCTACCGTATTACAAGCACTCCAACTCAACCATCCCAAAATCTTTTAGGGGCTTTTCCATGCTACTGGTATAAGTAATGGATATAAGTAGTATCTTGCATGAAGTAAGAGCAACGCCAAAATCGAGACAGGAGACCTGCCATTACTTTAATTCTGCACCTTCGACTCATCCTATTTGCTGCTACCTGCTTGTCAAATACTTGGACCTCCTTCTGATGTCTCCATCTTTAAGCTCGGAAATTGTTTGGCTTTGTGCAAAGGAGGGTAGTAGTAAAAGGATGGAAATCTCTACAATAATGAATAACATAAGCTGTGGATGAAAGCCCTCGTTTTAAATTCTCAAAATTTCCTTTATCTCTGTTACTTCTTTAAGAATGAGAAATGAAGGGTGGTACTTTTTTTGAATTGTTGCATTTAGATACTTTGTGCTATACCAGAACCTCCTGTTTCAATTTGTGTCGGATAAGTTGGACAGAGGACCGTGTGGATTGGCGTTGCTAGAGGGCTGCTACTGCGAGAAAACTCTGGTGCTGCGCACCTCTCGCAACCCACGCACAGCAACGCAACACGACGTGAGTTTACCTTTACTACTCTTTGAAGCGGTTCTGTGGATGACTGAAGCCAACTGCTTCTCCTCCATCGCTAACCAAAAGCTCTAACTTATCCAGCGGCCTCTATTTGGATGCAAAGGGGAAAGAGGTTGCACTCTTTACTGGCAAAATGAGAACGAATGCTTTTTTCAGGATAGTCTGTCCATCAATCAGGACCATCTGGCTGGTAGTAGAGTATTACAACAAGCAATTAACTAGCCCGATCTTAAAAAGGCCTCTCAGAAGTGGTGTTTGGCGCCATCATGAACACACAAAGTGGTGGGGAAAAAAAAAACTGGGGTTACACAGTGGCTCTAAGGTGATTGGTGTCTACCAGTGTCATTATCAAATGAGGTGAGAGAGGAGGTAAGGGGGAGAAATCTCCAGTGATTAGATGGGTGTGTGCGAATTTTCATGTTCGCTGAATAGGAAGAAATCACGCCTAACTAGACCGAGAGTCCGAGAAGGGTGGAGACGCGTTTTTACGATTGCAGTCACTGAGGTTGGTTGAAGGTGGAAGCGAGTGGCTAGCGCTGGCAATAATACTTTGAAAGCTTATCATTTGCTGTCGCTGGCCTTCATGTTGACGCAAAGCCATCAAGCCTGGCAAACAATTTACGCTTATGCAGTCCTCGTCCTCCGCCTTCTCTGTGTGTAAGAGTGGAAAAGAGAACAACTGTTCTTATTTACAGTCTGCTCAAAGCAGTGTATAACTTGTAAAATGACAGAAACCCTTTTAATTCTTAATATCAGTTATACTACTGAAATTGAGGATGACTCCTTAGCAAGTAGTATATGTCAAAGGGTATAGCTGTGCGACAAAAGAAATAATTTCAAGGGCGTTCAATTGTTTTTGTTTGTCTTTTTCTGCCGTTTGCATTGAATGCACCTCAGCATTGCTTCACCATCTGCTGCTTGCCGAAACGCAAGAAGTACTACGAGTTGCGTGCAGACAGTGAGGAGGAGTGCGACGATTGGGTCGCTGCCATTCGCAGTGCAAGGTGAGCACATGAATTTAAGGACAACACCATGAGATTAATGGAGTAGAAGGAGGTAAGGTGCCAGAGGACGAGTCAAGAACCTGTGCTTTTCCTCGCTTTTCCTACGATGATGACGACTAGGAAGATGTTGAAATAAGAATGGCCAAGAGCTTGCAAATGTGCATAAAGTATTTGCTTAATTAAACCCAGTTTTCCACCAGAGGCGAAATTACCACATCACGGTCCTCCGCTTCCTCAATTTCGTTGCATTCACTCCATGCATGGATGTCCCCTCTTTCTCTCCCTCTTCCTTTCCCCCTCTCCACGGATAGCATAAAGCGCGGGCGCAATTGCCGCCGTCCTCTTGTGCGAGACAGGCTTGATGTTTATGGCTTTTCCGGAATTAAGGATGGCAGTCTTATTTGCCTTTATTTATACCTACAAACGCTTTTTCCTTGTGTTGGTACATTTTCCACTTCGATGACAAAATACTGAGCAAAAATAAGTAGTATCTACGACTCTTGAGTCGTGATTAAGGATAATAACATTGCTGACGCTAGTAACGATCATTTTTATCTACAACACACTCAATTTCATTCCTCCTCCTTCTCCTCCAACTTGCAATCCATTGCAGTTTGACTTGAGGTGGCACACGTAAAAAGACACAAAGACGAGGGTGATTTGTTGCTGCCAGAGGAAACCCACGGTTCTTGGATGGTGCCTGTTTAGTTTTTTCTTTCCTATACCAAACCAAATCAAAGCACATGTTGTCAGTCAAGTGCATCCCTTGAATGTGCATTGATATTTAACTGCTGGCAAGGCGATACCCGGTCTCCGGAGTGACACCAGACGCCACGTCCCTATGGAGCAAAAACGAATGCGTGAGTGGGAGAGCATCGTTTTTGCACAGCCCAACTTTGTTACAAATGTCAGGCCTTTGTGATAATTAGCCGGAGTCAAGGTAAGGCGTGGGCACGGCTGCTAACTTTTTCGCTCTCCGCTAAGCTAAGCAGGCGGTGTGTGTGTGTGTGTGGAGCAGTCCTGCTTGTCATGCCCAGAGAGGGAGGCAAATGAGTCCACCACCTCGTAGGAACAGCTATTTACAAAGGAGGTGGAGGAGTGAGCCTCCAATTTCTCTATGCTTTGTTCGACGGAGGCAGAGATGAGTATGGCGAAGTCCACGGGTGCCACCCTTGAACAGACGCACACCACCATCGCCAGATATCGCATTCTTTTTCAAAACAACACTTTCAGTGTGTGTGTGTGCGATTTTGTGATGTCAAGACTACCTTTCTTGCCTCTAGTCAAACATTTGGCAAGTAAAGTAGGACATTTATGACGACTTCCATTGTTACGGCTCTTCTGTGCCCTGCTTTCAAGTGAGCTCTCGCCGCTATAAACGTCAAGACGTGACATCTTCACAAGCAATGGGCGAGACCGAGACGCACCTTCTCCACCTTCACAGTCATAATGATAATGCACAAAGGGTGTCCCCATTTTCTTTCGTATTAAGAAAGGCACGAAGAGGAGGAGGAGGAGGAGGAGGAATCCGAGGCGGAGGCGGTGAAGGAGGAGGAGGAGGAGGATAAAAACATTACTGATTATGCCATTAGGCTCAGTAAATTGGCCTCTCTTGTCTATTTCCCTTTGTCCCCCTCTCCCTTCCCTTCAATTAGCAGTCATTGAATAACTCCTCCATTCCAGACTGTGCGATCCTTTTATTATTACTGTACTGGCGCTTTTGGAGAGACTTTAGAAGCCGATTCTCCGTCTTCAGAGCCTTGACTGCTCTGGCTTCGACCGCTGTGTCATGCTTTGTTAATAATTGTAAAAAGGAAGCAGTCACTGTGAAGACCTCCTGATTTTGAATTGCCTTTTGGGAGGGCGTTGCTGGTTCCACAATAATCACAAGGAGAAAGAGGAGGCTGTTGTACGGTGTTGTGAGTGAATAGGAGGGAAACTGTACCGCTGCGTCACCCTTCACTTCTCCCCGTGCAGGTACAGCAGTGTGATTAAGTCGAGACAGGAGGTGAGGGAGAATCAGGCCTACCTGTTGCAGATCTTGGAGACGGAGCGCAAAGCCAAACTGCAGTACCTTCAACAAACCGACGACCTGGAGGCTGAGATTAAGAAACTTAAAAACGAAGTAAGTTGTAGAAATATACGACACTTTCACTTTTTTTGATGTGTGAAATACTTTGAAGGAGGATGGAAGAGAGCAAATCTCTTTGATGACAGGAGGTAGAGATAGCAGAAAGGCATAAAATGATTTCCTACGTACCTTTCCCTCCACCTGCCTCCCATCCACCCAGCCAGCAGGCGGACCGGTCTGCCATCTGTCCTGCCGCCCCTCTCCCTCACTCCCATCCCCTCACCCGGTCGTGAAGCAAGCAGCGGTAAGACAATCCTCACCCGATCCACCTCTCCACAGCCAAGTCTTGGAAAGTGATCTTCCTGATTGGCCGTGATGACGTTCTCTTGTCTGAACCACCACCACCATCACCACCACCATCACCACCACTTTGTCCTGCCAAAACTGCAATCAGTGGAGGGAGGAGGCAACTTTTTCCATTCATCACCTCACCTCGGTTGCATCAAAATCATCTCATTAAAAAATAAATGGTGCGACAATGTCTCCTCAAAGGACAAAACAACTCGCCTTCCAAGCCTCCATTGTTGCGCACTCCACAAGAAAGGGCGTTGTCCACCAGAAGGCGAGGGAGGGAGGGAGGATGCGAGGCAATCGAAGCACCCTGAAGGGGCAGGAAGGAAGGGAGGGAAGCATGCGCATAATTGACACACCCCCGAAGACGAGTATGCAATCTACTCGAAGAACACCTTCCATTTTAATTGAGATTTAAAAAGCCAAAAAAAAAGAATAAATTTGTTTGCCTAACATGAATGCATTGTAAAATGAAGACAATTTGGTGGTTGTTGGTTAGAGAAAAGAGGAGACACTTCATCCTCACCGCCCCTTCAATAGGCGGGAGAACGGACGATGTCAGCAGCCATCACCAAATCCTCCTTCTATTTACTTGTCTCCCTCTGTTCGTTTGTTTGATTGTCCTTCTTTTCTTATTTTTTTTCGCTCCAGCTCAACGCCATCGCTCCCGCCGCAAAGGCGAACGTAAAGGTGGTGGCGGAGGAGGACGACGATCAAATACGCAAAATCAAAAAGGTGATCACCTCAAGTGTCATTTCGTTTTTAACTTCGTTTTATCCTTTTTCCTTCTCAATATACATATATTTTTTTTCAATAATATATGCTTTTTTGGTTTCTTTTGAGCACTGTAACGTTGCCTTGTGCACCTTTTCCCCAGAGACCGTAAATGTTGCCCACATGGGCAGAGTGAATGGAAGGTGACCGCCTCCATTCAAGAGGGAGGGAGGAATTGCTAGTTGTGAATGAAAATGGATGCGTTTTAGACTTGGTTCAGTCAAAAGGTACGTCCACCTCTCCCATCCCTCTGCCCTCTATCGCTCACTGTCTCCCCTCCTTGGGGACATCAACCATTGACTGGCAGCCCAATGGAAAGGAATGTGGACTCGTCCACGCTGTTGCCCGTATGACCCATACAATGGGGAAGCAAGTTGAGAGGGAAAGGGGTGAGGAAGATGGGCCCATTGCAACATACAATGCCCAACCTCTTGCATTAAACACAATCAGAATGCCACAATACCATCTTTAGTGACAAAGGGCAATAATAAAGGCAAGTAATGGGGGAAAAAATGGTGCGCTGTCCATTCATTACCGCCTCATTGCCAATCATTTCACCCCTTTTTCAACCAACTTTATTGCCTTATGAGGGGAGAATTTGCCCGACACGCGAATCCTCTATGCAGTAGACTTTCTTATTTTTTTCTTTTTGTTAATTTTGATAAAGACAGTTTCTCGCTGATGTTCGATGTGTGCCTTTCCACCTGCAGAAGGCCCAAAGCCGTAAGCAGGAAACCGAGTGCTCGTCCCACCACACACACACATACTTCTCATTTCGCATGCAAAAAAGCCAAACATACTTTGGGAAAGAAAAGTTAATCTTTACAATGTAGGTGCGTGTTCCGTTGCTGTTGTAAGGAGCGCGATGGCATGCAAAGGCTGTCTGCTCGTCCACTTGTGAAGAGAAATGATGCGTTCGCATTGTGCACATTCCCTTCGCATCACCAAGTCCCACGGGAGAGCGATTTTTACCAACTATCAATTGCACCTCATTTTCATTAATTTTTCTCCTCAAAGCACTGCTCAAACTCATCTGACTATGGTTTTTGAAGAGTGATGCACACGTTGTGTGCAGCGCACCAAATTTACGACTAGCGAAGAAGCAAAAAACTTTATTTCCCTCCTTCCAATAAAATTTCGCCTTAATGCAAAACACTAAACGAATGCTGCAAACAAACCATCCACGAGTAAGACTTTTCAAGCAAAATTAGTAATTAACATTTGCACTGCTACTTATTAAATTAATAAGTAGTTTGTCACAAGGAGTTGTTGCATTCCCTTATGAAGTTGCATCTTGCCGATCAGCAGGGTGCAATTTTCGCCCTCAACCTGCTTCACATGCCGTTTTCGTGATGGTAAGGCGCTGTGCCAACTTTTCTTAACGAGGAGGAATGTCCGTGTTACTCCAACATACCTCTTTTTCTTCTTCAAAAAGTGGACTTATTTAAGTGCTTGTAGCTCTTCACTCTTCAGGCCTTTCTTGTCCCCATGCCAAAGTAAAGTGCAGTTAAAACAAAAAGTGGGCAAAAATGGCCACTCTAGTAGTAGACAACATGAATACTTAGAGTCAACAAAGAACAATTCAATTTGAAGCATGAATGGCGGCAATTTTTTTTTAGCCTTCTTTTTAAAAGACTAAGAGGATTGTCTCTTCCAAGGATGCATTTTACTTTTGCTCAAAACAGAACAACAAAATTTTATGCCACCTTAATTTTTTCTCGGGAGCTGAATGTAAAAATGTATTAACAGACCGATTTTTTAAGGCAAAAGAGAAGGAAAAATGGCAGTACTGGAAGGCGAAACCCTCACACAACACCATTTTACTCGGCCAATACACTTTGTTGACGTTTTATACTCCTTCAGCCTCATTGCGATCTGGTTAGTTGAGTAATAACAAGAGCTTTGATGCTGTGTTGGCAAAGGTGCAATCATTCCTTCGCGGTTGGTTGTGCCGGCGGCGATGGAAGCATATCGTGGAGGAGTACCTCCTCTCGCCTCACGCCGAGTCAATGCGTAAACGCAACTCAATTGTCTTCAAGCTGTTCGAGGGGGAAGAGGAGTACGTCCAACAGCTGGTAACGCTTGTAACCTGCTTTCTTCGACCCTTCAGAATGGCGGCCAGCTCCAAGAAACCCATAATTACACATGAGGATGTGAACTCTATCTACTTAAACGTGTAAGTAGTATATTACCACGAAAGTGAAAATAACTGTATTGCTTGTAATTATGGTGTCTAATTAATGCAACAAACGTGTCAATAATTGATTAGGCTTCCATGAGAGTTAGTTTTAATACCCATGATGTTGTGGATTGTGCTGTTCGCTAGAAAAGGAAATAGTGGCGACTGTTGGGATTCCGATCCGTTCCTCTCAGGTGAAGAAAAGTAACGTAAGTGTGTATTTCCACTTTTATCCACCCGTCCATTCACCCATCTGCTTGCTTACTCATGCGGAGAGAATGGTGGAACCTCGATGATGAATAGATCGGTTGACAGATCAAATCGCACGGCAGTCTGCTGAATGCACTGGCCTTTCGCTTAATTCTGACACCGACTTGCATCTATTCAAAGAGTGACACGAGGTAGTGGCCCTCCTCTCCTCTGGCTGGCACAAAGTTGAGACAGCTCAAACAGGGAGGAGTTGTGAGTGGTGATTGAACGCGGGAAAGAGGGGAAAGCATTTCTTTCAAAGAGGTGTTTTTGTTCAAAAAGGCAACTCCTTGAGAGTGTACAATGTAGAAGGCACAGATGGTAAAGCTCAATCCTTGAGGGTGTAAATGGCTTCCCTCGAATGAATGAAATGCAACCTTTAACCCTTTCATCTGCTTGTATTTCCCTTTCTCACTTTCTGCTAGGGAGACGATAATGTTTTTGCATCAAATTTTCGTGCAAGGACTGCGAAGAAAAATGGAGAACTGGCCCACCCTTAAGTTGGGTAAGTGGCTCATCGTTGTATTGGTGGTGGTGATTTGTCGATGTAGAGACTCTCAGAATTCCTCCTCCGCCCGAGTGCGTTCGACTCACCTCTGGTTCTTTTACGCTAGCACTGCTTAAGTCCCTTGGACAAAATGATGAGGCATGCAAACGCCTTAACACTGGCACACGCTCTTCTATTTTGCTTCGTGAATGCAGTGATAGTGGAACTAAAGTTTGTTGGAAAAGCTTCAACTAAATATTATATTGTCATTAAGGCATCATCAGTTGGCATTTGCTTCTTCAAACATCAACCTTCCTTTCAGTAGATACACAACTCGGGTAACATGGCCAGTTTTTATTGCCTCGTCCCAGTTCCTTCAATGTTAAAACAATCTTTTGAAATGTGTGGTCAACTGCAGGTAGCGCAGCTCTGTTGTGGAGGGACTTTTGTACTAAGGTACTACTATGTTGAGTCTACTGTGCGTTTGTAAGTAGTATGTGCCGCCATCACTATGCCAACTTAATAACAAGAGGGAGAACGAACGCGATCACACCAGTCCTGACAAAACTAGCACATTTAATGGACTTTACGTGAAGTTGGCCAATTTATTAGCTTGCAGAGCTCACTTTATGGAAAACTTGAGCGCCCTGCCTAATGGCTAAGTGAAAGAGTGCGGATGAATGTGCAGGCAAAAGACACCAGCCGAGGGCAGTTCCTGCAGTGTTACTCAACGAAAATAATTGTACATTCATCTTCAACTTGTATGCGCATTTACGTTTTTCAGTGGTGAAGGCAAGCCAAGAGCACCAGATTCGACGACAATGAGGCGGGAGAGTTAACAGCTCCTTTGGTCCGCCTCTGTATAGCAGAGAGCCCGATTTGGTCACTACGTAGCGGTTTTGTTTGCAAACACCCAAGTAAAATAGCTTTGCTTTAAATGAGAAAAGGGGAAATTAAGGGGGAATGGATGGTGCTATTATTTACTGTTTATTCACCATATTTTCCCTTTAATGCCATGCAAATTTTTTCGTAAAGGACAGGCAGGAAGTTGCATTTTTTCACCCAAACTGCAGAGACTTCCGATTGATCACATTTTTTCATGCAATAAGTTGGGCTTGAATGGGGAGGTGGGACGCGGAAAGGGGAGAGGAAGCAGAACTGCTATTCACATCAGTGAAGTACTAAAAAACGCCTCCTTTGGTTCCTGTAGGCAGAGCAGCGATTTTCACTTGTAAATGTCTCTCTCAATGCGTTTTCTTTCACAATTTCCCTGCAACTCCTAAAAGGCAAGCTTTGACTTAGTCTTCACTTCCATTTCTGTCTCAAATGCCGCCTTCCAAATGATTGGCCGTCAGCGAAGTCTCCACGCGGTAGTGTCCACCTCACATTCGTAGCGTGAGTTCGTAAGGCAAAAAACTTCGGATCCAACAGCCTCCCTTTCGGTGAGCGAATAATTTTGCAGCCCTCGTCGTGGGGAAATTGAAAACACACCACCACCTAGTGGTGTGATGTTCTTTGACACCTCCACCTTCGTGCTCCCCTTAATTACTGCATTTCACAACCTCATAGGCAATTTCCGCGTCTATTTTCTTTTCTACTGAGGAGGTGGAACGAAAAACAGTCTTTGTTGCATGCTATACTGACGTGGAATTTGGAACAACTTTTACGGTTTATTTAAACAGATTTTGTAGTCGCTACTGCCCATCCACACCGCCAGTGGCTGAAGGCATGCTTATAAGTAGTATATAAGTAGTAGTAAGTAGTCAGAATATTATAAATTTTAAGTTGGCACAGTTTTGGGTCGGTGTTCATGTGACACACTCTTACCCAGCAAATCAAAACTGTGCAGGCAGAATCCCAACTGCCGCCTGTTTCAGGGCTACCACCGGATGACCTGACCTGACCCGACCCGACCTGACCTGACCTGACCTAACTTTCCACTTCCACCACAAAGAGCACACTTTTCGTGCGCTCACCTCAACTGCGCATCCGATAGTTTATTCTTCTCACGATTTGTTAAATCGCGTAAAATACTTCAACACCCTCGCCACATTTCAGCGCTTTTATTTTCCGCATGTCCACTAATTCGCTTTCTGTTGAAGCAAAACTAACCAAAATGTCATAATTTGATTTGAGAGGAAAAAAGTGGAAAAAAATGACTTCAGATTTGCTGACAATTGTCATGATTAGCACACCACATTGCAGTGTAGATGAAGGCAGCATAATTGACCTTCTTGAAGAAGTTGCGGCCTCAGTCCCACTCCCCGTGTCGATCTTTCTTGGCTCACTTAAAGAGATTTGAATGGTCACCCTTTCACAAATTTGGGGATAAAATAAAAAATTTGCTCCTCACAGATATAATAACATCCATGGAACGGGTTTAGAACGTGGGGGCCCTGATCCCCTCCTCCTCCTCCTCATTTTCTTCCTCCATCTTGTTGTCTTCCTTCACTCTCCTCCAGACCTGACCATTCCTTTTCACCGTCGACTTTAAAACTCCAGTTAATTTACGTCTGTCCCAACTCAGTCCTTTTGTGCTGCCCAATATGGAATGAGGAGGAGGAGGAGGAGGAGGAGGAGGATAAGAGAAGCGTTCTGTAGCAGACAGAAACCATTCTGCGAGGACTGCGCCTCCTGGAAAGGGGAGGACGACTGTGGCACGTGGAAGCAGGCGTCATCATTAATTAGCATTAGGACGCATTGATAACAATTAAGCACCTTCAATACAAATAATAGTGAGGCAGTTGGTTTGTCGTGGCAGGAGGGCAGACAAATTAGCCCCATGAGGATTAATGAGAGACAGCATGACAAACTGTTAGTCTTTACATCGCCCACTTGACGGATTGGTTGTACCAACGACGTCTCTTCTCCATCGCCTGCTCCCTAAGAATCCACACTTGGACGCCCACCTGAGGGAACGGGACTAAGAGGGAGAAAGCGCAGCCTCATCCCCCCTCAAGGTCGCCTTGGCTACCACGTCTAATGACCATCAAATTTGCACGCCTGACAGTGAAACTGTCAATTGAGAGGCTGAAAGCAAAAGTATGACGACATTTCAGCGAGTGTTTTACGAATTTTGCATCCCACTTATCCGAGTCCCAGCCCAAACCCAAACTCCTTTTTTCCAGTCCTAATTTAATCAACACTTAAATTAGAGTAAACGATTGGTCTGTTTTCTTGCCCTTCTAGAAAAATCAAAACACCCTTTTTTTGAGCGCCATTCTGACGTCGAAATCTCGCGCCCTCGGTGCTGTGGAAGCCTCAATTAGCGGGTGGTCCTTTGAAGCAGTGCCTTAGGTTTTGTTTTCGCAAAATTCTTGGCTGTCTGCTCCACTCAATTTTTGCTTTCACCCTTTAAAATACCTTGGAAAATGCACAAAATTATAAGGCTGTACTCTTTTGAACAGTTGTGACCTCCCAGTGCGTGTAAGAGGAGCATCAATACGAGGGTCATCCTAACTAAACGTTAGGTTAAGAGAAAATCGAGCAATTACTTGATTGGAAAGTAAACTCGCAGTTGTTGTTCACTTATTTGTTTCTCTAAAACGCTAGGCGACCTCTTTGACATGTTGCTGCCAATGCTGGGCGTCTACCAGGAGTACGTCCGCAATCATCACTATTCGCTTCAGGTCCTGGCCGAGTACAAGATGAAGGAGGAGTTCACTCGAACGCTAAAACGATGCGAAGAGAAATCGCAGTGTGAGGGACGCTCGATTGAATCCCTCCTCACCTGCCCTATGTACCAAGTGAGTCAGCATTGCCTACTTAATTATTATTTCAGTAGTTTGTTGGAGTTAGAAAGTTCAGGCTAAGGGACTGCTTTCCAATATTTTTGCCTTACATTTTTATAGAGCGAATTGTGGGTATAAACGAACGAAAGATTAGTCATTACGTACTCAAACTACGACTACGTGACTAATTTACCTCTGCTCATGAATGTCACCTCTGATAGTGTGCCTGGTCAAAATATTTCCATACATCCTACTACAATTTAATTAGCATTTTTTTTAACAATAAGCAAAAAATATCACTTGGAAAAAAATTGTGCATCTAGTTTATTGCTCAGCTGCACTAAACAACTGTCCCTTAGGACCGATGAAGCGTTCGTGAACAAGGCCAATTATGCAAAAGTCATTTGGCATCAGTTAGAAAGAGGAAAATTTTTCACAACTTTACCAAGGTTGAGTTTACATCTCTTCACTAATACCACCACAGTGTATACACTCAATGACATCTCTGCCCTTTCCACTGCAATTTATCATTACCTTTGCATAAGTGAATGGCTCAATCTGTTCATAGACATTTCATCCTCTTCTATGAGTCTGCAAGTCACAATGCAAGAGTACTTACCAGTTGTGTAAGCTCATTTTTGCACAACGTGGTGACCACGTAGCTGTGCAGAGTTGTCAAAGCAGAAGTCCTCAGCAAATCCCACTGTTGTTGAACGAAATGTGCTTCTTTTGGTGTTTGTATCAATCAATCTCACCACAGCGGTAAACTCATAACTAAACCGAAGTGTAAAGGCACACCTTTAAGTGTGTTGTGGTGATTTTGATATGAGCTGAAGCAATCCATGATCACAACTGCATTCACCTGGGCACCATTTTTTAGTAAATTGATATCGTCTTTCAGCTGTTGCTGGATAAGGGTCAACAAAAGGCCCAAATTTGACCCCATTTAATTTCTATTCTAGTCAGGTTGGTCGCCCTCCTCTCAAAAATTAAAAATGCTTGTAAATTTTCCGTGCAGTAAAATTAAGTCATCAGCAATTTTATTAATTAATTCTAATGTGGAATGCCGTACTAGCATTAGGAGTGCAAGCCGAAATCCACCGACTTTCTGCTAAGAGAGCAAAGAGATAAAATGTAAATTTCTTTTATACAAATAATTTGATTTGCTCATTTAATTGGTATCTGATCTTAATTTCCACTACCAATTTTAGTTATCATGTAGGTTTTGAGCCAAGCTCCCTACTTAATAATTTCAGTAGCATGTCCACACAGCATTATTCCCATTACAGATCCCAAGGTATCTTGTTACCTTGCACGAAATTCTTGCTCACACGCCCCACGAACATGTTGATAGAACAAATCTGGAGTTTGCGAAGAGCAAATTGGAAACATTGTCTCAGGTAAGCTTGACACTTAATTTGCCAGAACATATAACCGCACTTCCATTGTCTTTTCTTATAAAAGGTGATTCATGATGAGGTTAGTGAGACAGAAAACATTCGCAAGAATCTTGCGATTGAGCGTATGATATCCGATGGGTGCGATATCCTCCTCGATGCAAATCAGGTTTTCGTAAGGCAAGGTGAGTCTACTTATTTTATGTAAGTAGTACCGATGCCATTCGATTATCATAAAATGTTTATTAAAGAGAAAATGTTTCGGCCTCCTCCATTTTAGGATCAGTTGACGGATTTTATATGTGCGGACGCTTTAATCTCCCTATGTTTTAGACGAAATTTGCTAGACGCCAAATGTATCCGAAAGCCAATTCACATTGACCCAATGTATTTTAATTGACTTGCACTGTTTCTGATGCAAAAAAATGTAAAAAAACATGCTACATTTGATCAGCGTCAAGCACTTATCCATGTTAGTGTAGGCAAAAATATATTTTGCACACCAATCCCATGTGGACCATTAATTTTATGGCAAGGCAAAAGAAAATTACCTTTTTTCTCAGTACTCTTTTACTACCTCATAAGATTTCGTATGAATTGCGCTGCCATGATCAAAGCCCAAATTGAAATGGGATAAATGAGCAGAGTAGCCCCACGATTTCATGGATGTACAAATCGCATGCACAATAATATACCTTTAAGGTATTAAAAATACAATTAGCAAGTCACTTTATGGTTTTGTTTCGCTTTTTTTCGATAGGGACTCTAGTACAAGTGACAATGCATAAGGCAGCTTATCCATGTCCGCGAATCACTCAACTTAATTCCTCGTCGTGTGAGAAAAAGGAGAGACTAAGACAGGTCTTTCTCTTTACAAATCACCTTCTCATTGCCACAAGGACAAGTTCTGGGAGGCTTAAGTTGGCTAAGGTAAAAGTTTGCTCAAATTCTACTGTCGAAAATCTTGTTGCGCTGTTAAGTGGTTGATATAATGAATTGTCTATTAATGCACACAGTGGTTACCTACTTAACATTAATTAAGTAGAAAGTATTTTTTGATGCTCAAAATTTAGACTTAGTTATGCCAGAGAGTTAAAGTGTATTCTGATGCGGTTCCGAACGGATTGCCATGACATACCCTTAACGTCCCTTCTAGAAAGGTCAAAGTTCTGACGGAGTCGTTCAGTTCTTTGAAATACTTCACAAATCAGCGTGCTATTCTTTACCCACTTTGGCGTGGCTCGCCTTGGAGAGAGGAAACTTTCGTACATTCACAACTTCTTGCACCCTAATATCCATCCCTATCATAGATTTCGCCATTGATTGGCATGCAAGGTCTTCTTTAGTGTTTTGTGTTTTGACTTTATTCGTTTTAGCCACATGTCTCCCCACTTCGACCTCATGCTTAACTCCTTTCCATAGTGAACGGAAGGAACCCGGTAAATGCATTCAAAATACTACTGACGCCATAAATCTTCAGTGAAGTAGAAAACGCAAAAAATTAAGTGGGAGGTATGTGCCTCCTTATTGTCTCTTAGCGTTCGCATTCTACAGTGCTCTGATGACCAAAGTTTGCCAATTGGAAGTAAAATTTACGATTTATTAGACCCTAAACACAGTATATCCTGTCTTTTTTACTTCTTTACTTAGAAAAGCGGCAAAATTCCTCTACGAGGTTGCAACCTTATCGAAGAAATGCCCCATGATTGGAGTCAGGATGATGTCGGTAAGGGGAGATAAAATCTTTTTGCTTGTGGCACGTCTTTTATCCATTTGCTCGATCTCCATAAATTGTCCTGTTATTATAGTTACTGCCTCTTCACTATCCAACGACACCCCTGAATGTGGACCTAGCCCTATTTCGAGAACACAGAGTGCCTGCAGTTTTGGAGGACAGGAAGAATTAGGCCCTGCGGAGTCACAACATCATCAACAACCTACACAGACGTCACCACCGTGGAATTCGATTCCCGCCAAACTGGCGCATGGCTCTTTGATGCTGGCCGCGCTGACGCTTGGTTCGACTGGAGGCGATTGCGCAGGTATTCTTTTACCATCAATGTGGACGGGTTAATTATGAAAGGGAGCTAATTCATTCCGAGCAATGACGGAATGTAGAGATGGTGGGAAAGCCAACTACATTGAAAGGGTTTTATCTCCGCGAAAAGCTGTCTAAGTTGGCTTTGGTACACCTTTTACCTGTTCTTTGTCTGGTCTATAAATGCACGGAAAAACCGATAGTTATTCCGAAGGGACTTAGAGTGACACTTAAAAGTCAGTTTTGCTTTTCCAAATGGCATGCAAATTATGTTAGTGAATGAAAAATTGGGCACATACTATTGCAATTAGCCATGCTTCCTGACGTTGCAAATTGGTCTTTATGGTTTCAGCATTGTGAGCAAATTATCAAAAGCACGTTACTTTGTTGCAAAGAGAAAAGAATGACCTCGGATTCGATTTCTGATGTCATTAATTGCTTGCTACTCACATTTAATGAGTAGGTCGTTTCATTTGAAGGCAAGTCGAGGCGAGATGCGCGACCAGGCTCATTCACTCGCAAAGATGTTGTCGATGACTTGAGCGATGACAGTCCTGCTTACTCCCCTCCAATGATAGCCACTGCATCAGCTACTAAACCTGCTCATCCACTCTGCGGCTATGGGAACCTTGTGTTTCAAATAATCTGGCCAGGGGGCGAAGAAGGCACTTGTAGTGTGTGCCTGGTAGCTTCGAATCTACAAGAAAAGGAAGCCTGGTGCTCGGATATAAGTCAGGTCTGAGAAGTATATTGCATGTAATATGAACGCAATACAACATCCAATCAAATGCGAATTAGAAATTTTTTAAAGGAATAAGTTTTTGAACGAACACTTATGCGCAACTGCCTTTAATGCCCTAACAGGGATAAAATGGCGAAGACGAAGAACTAACGTGCATTCTCATACTGTCGTAAATCCGTTATTCATTTATTTTAGTGCATTGAGCAGCTTCACTGTAGTGACCTATTAAGCACCGCGCAGTCCGAAGTATCATCCATCTCTATGCCGTATTCAGTGCGGTGAGTTTGACAGAACTGTAAGCTGCATTGAAAAATAAGCGCTTCATCAGATTTGGTTGGCATGCTAAGTGTTGCTTTTTCCTTCTAGTTTGGACCCAGGGTTGTTCAAAGACTGTCCTGACATTAAATACCGATCGACGAGGAACTCATGCAAAATGCCTCAGGTAAAGTGCCCTTTTAATCTCACATTTTATTGCGAATCCAGTGGGCAATTTGCCTTGTTTGACCAATGGATGGCTTTTCTAATGCCGTCTTGCCACACTATTGTCAGATTCTTACACCTTCACTTCATCTATGAATTAGTAGTACCTAAAAAGTGGATGAATGAGATGTCGTTTGAACGCACTTTCATTCCTACAAACTACAGTTGCTCTAATTTGGGCAATAAATGGACAGGTCTAAAGATCGTCAGAAAGTCGACGTTCGTAGTTTAAGCACTTTTAAGCTGGTCGAAAGACAATAATTTTTGCACTGATTAATCAGTCGCAAAGTTTCCATTTCGCCTTATTAAGGTCCGTCATGGCACCCTAGGCCGTCTCTTGGATCGCCTTTTGGATCCGAGGTTTCAATCGATTGACTACCTGAACACCTTCCTGCTAACTTATCGCGTGTTTACTACTGGACCGACTATCATTGCAGTGCTTCGGTGTGTTCTTCGAGATCCATCGCTTCAACTGGCCTCGACAAAAATTAATCTCGATCTCCTTGAGTCCATGCTACGAACAAAGTAAGTCGGTGCACAAGATGGCCTGACTTGGGTCTTCAGGTAAACCGTATTCAACTAAGAGTTGGCAAATTTGCCAGTCTCATGACTGCTACTCTGATTGCTTAACTGTCACATTTTAACAGTGATTCTGAATGTTATCAATTTTATTCATATTATGTCAAATATGATTCCTTCGGCTCTCGAAGCGTTTAATCTCATAAAATATGCTTCCGAATTCCCCTACTCATTGTTACTCGCTCGAAAGGCCAGTAGAGAATCACTGTAGTTAACAGAGTACTTTACGATTAGCAAAGTGATTCCGGACAAATCCCAATTCCTCCAACACTTCATTCTCAATTGTACTTCAGTCATGCCGCTTTAACACAGCACTCATTTCTTCACGCGTTTGCTTAATTTTAACCATTTTAATCCCTTCCCATTTATATCGTCGCTTTGGTTGTGCCCATTTATCACCTCCTTAGTCAAATGCGCTATGCTCTTCCGGTAGGCTACTCCAACAAATGTAATGCAAGCCTAAAGTCATACCTACTTAAATTATTCAGTAGCAACACTTATTTAATGCATTTCAGGTCAGGTAGCCGAAGTGGTAGGCAGCAGCGCATCTACTTCTCTACCGTGGCCAAGGGCGGCAGACGAGTTTCCACAGGCATGCTTGATGCCAAGAGGCATAAAGCTCTTGTCTCTCGTCAAAATTTGCCCACTCAAATCGTTCTAAAGGAAGAAGAAACCGAAAGTGGGTTTAACTAAGAATTAGGAGTAAAATAAAAGACTTGAATATCTCCATTGGCAAATCCAAACTTTAGGTGGAGGCAGCGAATCAGAGAAGGACACTGAAAAATGGAGGATCAGGAGTGCATCAGAGCACAGTAATTTGACAGATTTCCGACTTTCAGATGCCACTGTGGACAATGAGCAAGTGAGCTTAGAGAGACTTTGCAATGTTTCATGGAAAACGCAAGGAATGCAGTTAATTTTTTCTATTTTAAGTCCCATTTAGGTTTGGCGTCCATTTTTAGGTGCATTTGTATTTCAAACAGTTGGTAGCATGCATGTGAGAATGGGGTGATGAAAAAACATTCAAGAAATTTGGTGCACGCACAACATAAGAAGCGGGCAGAATGTGATTAAAGTCGAGTTTCCCACTCGTTGCGCTTTCTGTCCATTAGTCTCCGCACGGGAGGAAATTTTTCTGTTCCTTTTGCAATTGTGACTCTTAGGAGGTTGTAGGGAAAATAAGTAACCTTATTGCAGCAATAAATTCTTGTACATAAAATCAACTTTGTCTCCTTTTAGCCCCAGGATAAAGATTTCCTTATGGTAGGGGCCGGAAATGGGGAAAATGGCGATTTGATTCTAACGCAAGAGTCCAAAAGTATCTGTCAGGAAGAAAAACATGATAGAGAGCTCGAGGAAGAAGGAGGAGGTACAAGAAGGGAGGGTAAGTCTAGCGATTGCGCCCTTCCTTTTTAAAGCAGATAAAGCAGCTGTTGTAAAATCTAATCCGATGCTTGGGTTCGGTGTTCTTCTACATTCGCATTTCCTCGTCTTTGGAGTGGTAAAGGTTGGAGTTTAAGCTTTTTCACTCTACTCTCTAGATGCCAGTAAAATCGAGCAGAGAGAAGTGGAAACGGGGAAGCAGTCCATTGCAAGCGAAATTATCGCACCTGTTGCCAACGCTGGCTCACTTCTAATGTCTTTTTTTGAGAACAAGGTACGTCGATTTACACTGCTTTTATAGCCCTATTCTTTTAGGCTTGGGGACTTATTGACTTGAAAAAGGGCAACTTTGTGGCTTTTATTTTACTATTATTTAGGACAATCAAAGTGCCTTCTCATTGGGCCAACCAATCATCGAAAGCCATTCTTTTGCAACGTCTCTCCCCAGTATGCTTGAAAGCGCGCGAGGAGTCTCAACTCGCACCCGCGAACGTAAAACTTAAGTGTCTTTGAAGTCGATTTTTGGCTGTGCGCTTGTACGGATGCAGCCAGAGGGACGATGGCTGCTAAGCTATCCATTGTAACTCACTTCTTGAAAGTAGTTAAGTGAATTAGCGAGCAAAAAACTACCGAACGCTTCGGTACTCCTGAGTTATGGGTATTACTGTCACTCAAGCTCATTAATAGCTTAACCCAATAACTATTTCTAAGTATTTGTCGAGCACTACTACTTACTACTATTAAGTAGCAAGGTTATAATCCCATTTTAGGGGAGCGAGCCAACTTAATTCGACAACGGAGCCGTGTGAGTTATGCTTACAACATGTCTACTTACCGTAGACCACCAAAAGCGGGTGCTATCATTACCTCTGCTCGAATGTCCCGACGAAGGTTAATACGGTGCTTTTTTGAATAAGCTTTGATGGCTAAAAGACTGGATATCTTGACAACGAAATTCCTTTCATTGTGTGTCCCCTTTAGATCAAGCAATTTGGCTGCAGTGAAGGCTTTCGCTATAGCAACTGCTGCAAGCGGATCGACACAAATACCACATCATAAAGGTACGTCTATAGTCCTTCCTTCGTCAGTGCTAGCACCGGCAGTGAAAAAGCTACCGCTATCTGCAACGGCTGCTGTTGCTACCTCGTCTTCGTCTCAAGGAGGTAAGATGAAGCCTGTGGCGGCCACCACACTGCCTCCGGATGGGACAACGTGTAACGAGGCGGAAATTCAGTTTCCGCGGTTGGCACCGCCTAGTACAAAGGAGGGCAGAGAGGCTGTGGTAGGAGGCATGACAGTAATGAGGGTGTTAAACGTGGCTCGACATTGGATCACGAAGTATCCCGAGGCAAGTGGACAAATTCATTCCACTTCTACGCAAATGCATTGACGTCAGTGCGATCGCGTGATACGCCTTGAATATTGCCTAATCGCCTTCTCCTTTTGATTTCGTTTCCTTAGGATTTCGACTGTGACTTCCAACTAAAGTCCAAAATGCTAGTGTTGTTGGAGGAATTGCTACATAATCCTCGCTTAAATGTTTCAAACAGAAAAGTCGCTTTGCAGCTGACCAAAGAGATGCTCAACGATCAGTTGGTTGAGACACATGTTGACCTCAATTCACTTATGACGCCATTGCAAGCAAGTTCATCCTCATTTCCACCTTTATGGAACTAAAATTTTGTCCACTTATTTTACCCATCACCAACGCCCTTCTTTAAATCTCAAGACGCCATTATTAATACCATCGGTCACAACATCATCCACAGGGCTCCACAACATACTAAAAAAGTTCCTTTTTAAAACAATCTACCGCTAGTCAATGCGAAGACTTTTCGGTTCCTTCTGTGGGTGTTTGAGTAGTAATTTTAAAGAGTGTGGACGGCTTTTTTGCTCCATATGCATATTTTGGGCTTCCTTAAGATCCCGTCAAAGGCAACCTTCGATAGAATACCTGCACTAGATATCGCCGAGGAGCTCACTTATCTCGACTTTCACATCTTCCGCTCCATTAAAACGCAGTAAGCGTCGCTGTTCGCAGCATGCAAAGTAACTCTGCACAAATGCTAATCACCCACTTTCGGGGTTACAGAGAACTACTGAATCAGGTTTGGATGAAAGACGGAAAGGAGGCAAAGGCGCCCCATGTGATGCTTGTAACAAAACGATTTAATGAAGTCAGTAAACTTGTGGTTTCGGAAATCATTTCCCGCTCCCAAATCCCCGATCGTGCAGCCTGCATAGAAAAGTGGATTGCAATCGCGGATATATGTCGATGTTTGCAGAATTACAATGGAGTGCTGCAAATTTGTGCCGCCTTGGAAAACAGCTCGGTGCACAGATTGAAGGCGACTTGGGAGGTAGTTGCTAAACCGTCGAAACAGTCCTTGGAAAAATTGCTCACTTTGGTTGCTGCAAATGCAAGGTTCAAGAATATGCGAGAACAATTGCATCAGTACGCTGACAATTGCGATTTGTTTTGTTTAGCATTATTTCTGCTGATTTTAACTTAGTAGCATCGTTTTCGCAGGTGCGATCCGCCTTGCATACCCTATTTGGGAATGTATCTCACCGATCTTTCCTTCATCGAAGAGGGTGCGCTGGACATTACTGAACACGGGTTGATCAATTTTTGCAAAATGAGAATGGTAATTTTTGTGTCTTCGAGGTCACCGTTACTTCTCTAGCTGGCTCATGTACTCATGGAAATAAGGAGGTACACCCAAACACCCTATATGATTAAACTTAGGCAAGAGGTAAGTCACTGCTTTAAGCTAAGGGAGTTTTTAGGTTGTAGATTACTTATTGGACCCAACCCGACTGCTAAGTGATGATCAAACATACGAGGCCTCATTGAGCATTGAACCAAGACCACATTTCACTGCTGTATGCCAAGCAACAGGAGTGACAGACGAGGTAGTCGGCAAATGGACTCCCTGTCAAAGGACCTGAAGACGAGTGACCGATACTTAATTGTCCTCCCCCCTTCCCCCTCTACATTCGTATCGAAAATAATCATGCCAGTATATCGAATAAGTTTGATTATTTATAAAAAATAAATATGCGTGAGATTTGCCTCCGTCTTTCAAATGGGATAAAGCAAAACTGGATTGTCTACCGCGTCAGTTCAGTGGCATAGGAAAGAATGCGCTGTAGGCGCAAGTGGGCATGAGCCACGTACAGAGATCTCAGGGCGCTGCCATATATCATGTCCGTCGTTTGATGCCAGAAACTGGTGGGAGCAAACTTAAGGTTAAAGACTGTACAGAACAAATGCAACTTATGTATTGAAAAATTTAGCTGAGGTGCGCCAAAAAAATTATCAAATAATAAACACAGCACGTAATAGCAGCAGTCACATTTATAAAACTTTTAAGCCCTTTATTTTGTCTGAAAATTTAAAAAAATATTCTAATTATATTTACAAAGACGTTTTTAAAAGCTTTATTTTATGTTTATAGCCTTTAGGATTTCGAGGTTGAGATGATGCTGATGCAACAGTGCGTGGTTTATCGTTACGTTAATCTGTGAGTGCACTCGCTCTGATCGCCTTACACTCGCAGATGGCTCTTATCCTTGTCTGGGGTCTTTTATGCATATCAATCTTTGTGGCTGCTCACGATCAATGTTCCCTTCTTTGTGCCTCAGGAGTTTGTTGTGATGGCGCCAATGGACTCCAGCAATGTTGTCCAATTTCGGGTGTAGGTTTTGGTTTAGGTATTTGATTCCTATGTCACAGGGCATCTGTTGTGAATCCGGCACTACTTGCTGTCCACGAGGCACAGTTTGTAACTCTGATGGTTCTTGCACACGGCTAGATTCTGGTTTCTTTGGATTAATGGGCTTTTTCACTCCGTCCCCAGCGATATCTCAGGTAATTGGTTTTGCAGGTATTATGTAGATTCTCTAGCTTCCTACCGAAAATCCCACCGTAACACCGGCGACAAAGGTCAGCTCTAACTTGGATTCCTGTCCTAGTGTCTGTGGAAGTCTCTGTTGTCCCTTTGTCGATGTAAGTTGTGCAATCGATTCCGGTAACAGCACTTCTCTAGAGTGTCTGTTGTAAGGATGGAAAGCACTGTTGTCCATCTGGCTATCAGTGCGATGCCTCAACCAAGTCTTGTCGTCTTTTGCTTCACAGCAGCCACGCCTCCTCAGGTGGTCGAGACTGCTCTCTCACTGACTCGGGGTGTCGCAACACCGAAACATGCTGTATTATGTTCGATGGTAGCAGAGGCTGTTGTCCCTATGAGGAAGTAAGTTTTCCTTCTCTGAGATCACGCTGAATTGCGATACTTAGCGTGATTCTTTAGTTTGCTGTTACTAGGGAGCTTGTTGGTTACTTTTACACTCCGTACCGCTGGTAAATTTCAGAATGCTACACCTAGCCCATTGAGTCTGTTATTTCACATCGATTAGACCTTGAAAGTCGTAAGTTTGTCGCATTTGCAGGTCTCTTTATTATGAAGCAGATAATTGACCAATTTTACTGCAAAATATGCTCCTCTTTAATTAGTGTGTTTATGAGTGCCTTATCGACTGACTTCCGCAAGCATGCACCGTTTCATTTTGTTACTTATCGCTTTGTGTGAAAGCTGAGGATCGCTTTCGATTGGCTGCATTTACTCTCGCTTCGCGGTATTTTATGGCTTGTAAGAGACACTTTGAATTGCGTGAATGCTGAACTAGCTGTTCTCAAGTTTTGATGGTACAGCGTATTTAGCATAATCAAAGCCCCTTCCAAGCTGCAACCTCATGTGCCTGGAACATTTGAGGTCGAGAGGTATGACTGAAGGGTAGATCTTGGGTCTCTCCGCATTTCAGGTTGAGAGCCAAGTATTGTCAGAGGTCATGCGTAGAAACAAAGGATTTGACTTTGCTGAGTACGAAGTAAATACGAACAAGAAAATAAGTGGCATATTCGTATTGGCAGAAATAATTTACGGAAGTTTAAGCGTTGTAGTCTTGTTGCTAGTAGCATGTTTCAGCTTAAAGTATAGCTTGTCTTTTAGTGTTTTTATCACTTATTACTCGCTCTTAACCAGCCAGATGCACTGTGACTTACATTAAACAAGATGACATAAACCTTTTAGGCGGATTGTTGCTCTGACGGCTACCACTGTTGTCCAAGAGGCACGCGATGCAACAGTGGATCGGATGGATGCGTGCCCAAGTCGGGTGCGTGGGTGAATCCTTTCGAGCCCTCCGATCGCCTAATCGGTAGAAAGAGTGTCAAGTGTCCAGATGGGAAGTCTGCCTGTCATAAAGGCTCCACGTGTTGCAATACTGGCGGACCTAATGCTGCCTCCGCGTGCTGTCCACTGGAGAATGTAAGCTTTTGTCTTCTTTTGGCTTTTCTTTGCTTGCTTAGAACCCCTATGTGGTTTTCTGTGTTAAGCCGCAAAGACATTTTAGTACTTTCATACCAGTTAGCAAATTGGAAGGTAATATCAAGCTTGACTTATATGTCACTAATCGACTGCTTGGTTTGATTGTTTCCGGTCTACTAGCTTTAACTGAGAAAGTTGTGGAACGGGGTGACTTGAGTTTGGAATCGGCAGGCAGGGTCGTAAGAGTACGAGCTTTAGTCCAGAATTTTACAATTAGGCAATTTGTGGATGAGTTAATTGTAAATGGATGGGTGGCTTCATTAGTTGCCTGAATGACTTGCATTTAAGGTTGCCTCGTTTGAGGAAGAATGCTTTATTAGATGCATTTTAAGATGCATTTATCACTTCATCTTTTAACGCCATAAATGCAAAGAGCGGTTTTAAGGCCCAGAATACTTCTTCACACACTCCTCTTTCCAGGCCATTTGTTGTGAAGATGGAGAGCACTGCTGTCCTCAGGGCTACGTCTGCGACTCTAGAAACGGTGGTTCTTGTATCTTGAAATCTAATACTTCACTTGCCACCATTGTTTCCGAAGCGGTTTTTAAGCATTCTCCTGGAGAAATGGTGATATGCGATGATGGAAGTTACTGTGAGGGTCCCAATGTAACCTGCTGCAAGTTTTCTGATGGTTCTTGGGGCTGTTGTCCGTTCTCGAATGTAAGTTTATTTGAAAGACCTCTCCGAACTCTTGGACAAAGAAGGGGACTATGGCGGCTCCTTCTGATATGGCATATATCGCATTTTCCATTGCCAGGTTTTATCACTGCCCCATTCCCTGGAACAATCAAACTTGTTTAATTCACTGCTTTAATTTCCAAAATTGTGTAGAGGTTCGAATTCATTCCTTAACTCGAGCATTGTAAGTTGACTAGCCTCTCATTTACACAGATTGGTAAAGGATTAGCTGGTCGGATAGTCTGAAGATAAACTGGTTGAAGCAAAAGTGGAGGATGAGTAGGAAGTTTGTCGGAGGCACAAGTAGAGCGAGGGGATGAGTGGATGTATGACATGGTCGGCCAATGAATTATTACGTGGTTGATAGTTTGGGTGTCTAGAGGGGTGAATTGAGGTCATATAAGTTGCTTAATTTTTTACATCATCATAACTTCCATTACTAGGACTTTATTTGCCTTCTAGGCCATTTGTTGCTTGGATCACGTGCACTGCTGTCCCAATGGCTATTCCTGTTCATTCAATCAGTGCATCAAGTCTGGCTCTAACGGCAATTTCTTGACGCCTTGGAGGTACAAACAACCGGCAAAGAAGGCCAATTCCGACAGCAACACGTGTGAAGATGGCACCACCATATGTCCGAGCGATATGACTTGTTGCCTGACCGATGACAACTCTTACGGATGCTGTCCGTTTCCCAATGTGAGTCTAAGGAGTCAACCTTTCATTGTTATTATCGAAATGTCGAGTGTGATTTGAATGTGTGTGTGCGTGTGTGTGGATGGGTGAATGTGTAAGACCCCAGAATTATGGAGGAGATCTGCCTAATTATCTACTAAATGAAGAGTTCTTGTATCGGAAACGGTCTTGCAGCAGCTAGCTTTCTGTTGCCTCAATCATTGTACCAACTGAATCCCCTCATCACCGCCCATTTGTCCATCGTCTAGCTCTCCATTACCTAGTTGCTCACCATGTTGTCCTTCTCGGATGTCACCGTGTCCACTATGTCCACCCAAAGCAACTTTGACTTGCTTTTGTCCAAAAATCCGATCTGCTCCCAAGCCTCAAAACTACTCCCCGCCAGCCAAGCCACCGTGTCCGAGACCACCATCTCCTACTTGTTGTCCATTGTGTCGACCAACTTCAAACTTCTGTCCATTGCCGAAACCATCATCTAAAAATATTCTTGCCACGGCGATTCGTCCAAAACCACCTTGTTGTCAGAATCCACGGCAAAAGTGCTGTGCAAATCCTCCATCCCCACCGATTTGTTACATCAGATTAATTTCCTATTCGCCGATAAACTCGTGTAATTTTAATGTGTGTGTGTGTGTGAGTGTGAGACCAGAATATCGAAAGAGGCCCGCCTAATCATCTACTAAATAAAGAGTTCTTGTGTCGGAAACGTTTTCCTTGTGGCAGCTCGTCTTCTGCTGCCTCAATCATTGTGCCAATTGAATCCTGACGCCTTATGCACCATGCGTAAGGCAGGAGCGTCAGCTCATCAAAGCCTCCCAATGGCCGCACTTTTAGTGACTTAGGAGTGTTGATCGTAAAACCAACAATATCACTACAGGATTGCAGTGTAATTTAGGCAGAACCTTTCTGTGTTCTAGGACATTGCGTTTCGTTGTAGCGTCTCAAATTGGAGGAGCGCTTGAGTGACCAGTCGCAGAGAGTTACATTTGATTGACAAAGCGTACAAGCACGACTTGCAGGCTTCTGTCTTCTGGTTTTATTCAAGCTCCTAACGTATGGTGATGATAAGCCTAGCATTATTGGCCCATTGGGGTCTGTTAAATATGAACCGATGCTGTAGTAGGCCTTCCTTCCCCACGGTCCCGTTGAATCCCACCCCTTCAGCACTCCCTCCTTCCAAGTCTAAATGCCTAGCGATCCCGTCACAGACTTGACGTTTGGGTTGACCCTTGTGACCTGACTCTATGCCCTTTTTCCTCTCTAGGCCGTGTGTTGTTTGGATCGTGAGCATTGTTGTCCGTCCGGTTATACATGCGATGTGGCCAACAGTGCCTGTGTTCCCAACGGCGACTCCTCATCGGCTATCCCAATGAGCTCAAAAGTCCTACCGGCCTCGAGTGGCACGCATGCTGAGACGTGCGCTTCAAACTCAACACCTTGTTCCACCGATGGCAAGGTCGCTTGCTGTTCTCTCACAAATGTGCGTTATTTGGGTGTGCCATCGATGATGCTTTGTATAATCTCTTTTTTTTTTAATTTTGTTTTGACATGTCTGTTAACTTCACCTTATTTTGTGGTGGTGTGACATTGACACCCAATGGCCTCAGCTGCAATTCACTAAAATGAGTGCATTATATTTCACCCTTTATTTCGGTCCCCTAGCCTTTGAAGTCTCCGTTGCCGATGTGTCTTTGTGTTTTTGAAGCGCTTTCTTTTGAAAATGTCCGTCCAAATAGGCTCCAGCACTAATGCTAGCTCGGAAAATGCCAATGGCGAGGCTGGGTTTTTTTCGCCCCTTTCACACCCTTTCACAGGCTTGGCGAGTTCAGCTCTCACCTTTTATCCCACTGAAGTCGTAACAACTAGTATGATGCTATCGTTGATAGGATTTGTCAGCATCAATCGATGAGGTGTCGGATCAAAGGAGAGTCAACTGCTCGGAGCACCTTCCTGTTCCACGCCGTGGACATTAAAGAGGAGATATGCCTTTTGAAGTTCTACCCGATTTGTAGCACTTCTCTCCTGACCAATTCACCTATTCATTTAACCAGTGATTTCTCCATCCATCCCTCGAATTGACCGGTCAAATTTGGTGCTCGTTTTGTCTAAAACCATCCTCGCTTCGTCGTCGTTCAACGTTTCTTCCATTTCTGCAGCTTTGAGAGTGTTTTACTGAGCCTACGCGACTGAATTTTGGGAACTACTTCAATCTCTCAGTTTTTCTTTTATCCGCTAGTATTTGGAGAACTTTCAGTTCCAATTTGTTCTCAATGCAACGGTGCATTGGGCATTTGATGTGGCTTTAATTCTCCTTTTCGCATCGTCTTTTGGCGACTTCGTCACTTGAGAATGTGGTTCTCAAGCTAGGGCTACGTCCACGTCCTATTTCTTGTGCTTCGCATGCTCATGAATAGGCAACTGAGTGCCACCGCTTTTTAAACCACTCATGGGAAACATGGCGTTGTTTCCTACTCCACGTTTGGGCACTGACTGCTTTTCCTTCTCCTCTTCCTCCGCTTTAGGCTGTCTGCTGCTCGGACGGATTGCACTGCTGTCCGAAGGGCTTCGTCTGCGCCGTCAATGGTTGGTGTACCAAGGAGGGGGATAGAAATTTGCTTGACGGCTTTGTCCGAGCACCGCGTCTCCTGCCTCCGCACTGAGTTCAGCCAACTTCCCTTGGGTCGGTTGGCTAATATTTACATTTCCTCCTGTTCCTGTGATCTGCACCAAGGCGCAAAAGACTTGTCGAATCTCCCCTTTTTGGCACCCTTTTTTTCTCCTGTCTCGGTCAATCTTTTATCTCGATGGCTATCGCTCTATAATGCCTAACATTTCCCTTTGTAGGTATCTAACTAGCTATGATGCTTCTCCTCTTTTCTCGTATGGGAGGCCAAATTGTTTGATTCCGTTACCTTCGCCTGTACTCACTTGCTCTTTGTTTGTATGATATATTGTTCGGTCTCTGTGTCTTTCACCTTTTGTTTTCATTAAAGGGATTGTGGGTTCCATTTTCAAGTAGTGTCTCGAAGTATCTCCAGAGTGTTGGGGGAGCAGAGTGAGAGGCAAATTTGCATTGTTCTGCTGGTCACGTTTCTTTGTTCCCTTCCGACATGTCTATGCTACGCACTGAAATTGACGTCGTCATTGCGTTGGACGTGGTACCGAGTAATCAAAACGCCAAACGCCTGTGACAACCTGTTTGCCAAAGTTAATGAGTAGGTGGTCCTACGAATGTATACACTCGCAGCAGAAGTGTCGCATGAGTCATGGTCTTTGTGCAAGTGTGGTCAAAGCTACGGGTTGGCCTTGACGTTGGCCAATCAGAATTGCAGCTGCCAATAGGACTTTAGTGGCGGCAATAATGACCACGATAACCGGGACGGGCACGTGTTCTGATGGTTAAGACGTCTTCACGAAAAGGACTCCTGTGAAAACTGGCTTTATTTTTTTTAGCTACATTGCTGGTTTTTTGCTTTATGCATTCTCTTCCTTAATTTGAACTAAGGCTTTCTGGGCACGTTTTATACCGATATTATGTTTTTCTCATTGCACAAATGCAAAGCTGTCCCTTTTATGGCAAAGTTATAAGTATTATGCCTTTATGTTTTTTTGTAGTACTGATAGTATTACTGATCGAGCCTTCTTTGTCGAGATTGGTGGTTAAATATGCGGGTGTTTCACTCTGAGGATCGTGCTCCTGCTCGATGGCACGACCTTTGGATCGTTCTGGTGGCATGCCTAGCCTTCTGCACCTTAGTGATTAGTACGTTCGCTTTGCGGTTCAGAATGATTGAAAATATGTAGCAGTGGGTTCGCAAACTGTCTAACGCGAGAATTTTCACTTTTGCAACTCGGTTGAAGGGCTCTTACGAGGCGAATAATTCACCATTTTGGCACTGTACATTTTTGGAAGTGGTCAAGTCAGAGCGTTCATTTTAGAAAATTTGGGCCTTACTCGGTAAAGAGAAGGTATTGTTCAGGTTTCTAGCGCGTCGCGATCGGGCTAGTCAGTCCCCTTTGAGGCATGAAGTTGTCACTCTATGCCCCGAATTAAAAGCACATTTTGCAGGCATGTGATTTTGTAGCAGTGCGCTAAACATATCGTGTTTATCGCAAGCGTAAATGTGAAGCCTAACAAGTATGTGTAATGCGTTGTTTATTCGATCGCCTACACGACTGACGGATCTTAGCTGAGTAGGCTGAATTGAAGGCTTACTTACTTAAAATGATTTAAGTATTCAGCCATATTTAGTACCCTTGCCTACGTGATGGAAAGTCTTGTGATGTTACATAGAGAGAATGACTAATGCACACAGTGGTCACTCCCAACCGATAGAATTTCTCAGAAATTGAGCTTTGCATACGCAGCTCTCTACTTTTTGCATCAGATTCAGTTACCTCTCAGTTCTTATAAGTGCTGTAGCATCCATAAACTTGTGAAGGCCACATGTCCTTAATGTGGTGTTTAGGTAGTGCTTCACGCTGCAATATAGGGCATGCAACATATCAGTAGTTGTTTTCCTAAATCACATTACTGATGCCTCTTTATTCTGGATGGTGCCACTAACAAGTATGTTTTTAAATTGCTACTATTTTTATAAAAGTAGAACATACATGTATAAAAAACGCAGTTGTTATCATAGACCTTCTCAGTCATATGGTCACGTGCCACGAAATCAATAAAATTCCCTTCTCGTGCCTCAGACACACAGCGCATCTCTGAGATTCGCGAGGACACTGTCCAATTCAGCCTGCGTGAGTCAACTGAATTGCAATTTTGTCTTTGTAATTACAAATCAAATCGACTGCATTGTCCATTCTATGCATATCAAAATTTAGGAAACCAGACTCTTAGTTATGGATAAATTACTCTTTATAAACGTACAAGGAAGGAGAGTAAATACAAGGGTTTCTAGCTTTTTGCTTTAATAAGTATAGCTGTTTAGGATTTCATCTTTTAGTGCATCTAGAGTTATGGGAGACTTGGGAAAGGATCCCTCCCAAAATTTGTCAGCAGAATCTAAGATGTCCTATTCAACTCCTAATGAAGATGGTGTGCTGTGCTCGCAACAATCCCAAACTCCGTCAAGAGCTTTTCGACAAACCAAGGACGCATATGCACAGTCAATAAACCAACCACAACAGCAGACACAAGCACTAGGAAATACTTCCACCTGTTCTGTTAAATTAATTTGCTGTCAAAAGAAGCAACCAAATTGTCTTGAAGAGTCAACAAAGAAACGGTGTTCAACGCCATCTCAAACCTTTTTTTCCAGTCCTCCTCCTGGTCAAAATTGTTGCTCAACCTTGAAATGCCAAGTTTCATCGACTACCTGTACAAAAACCCCACCTTCTTCCCGTTGTTCCAAGCTCTGTCCACCTCCATCCCCTCCACCTCAGATGTGTTTTCCAAAGCAACCATCTGCTTGTCCGCTGCCTAGCTGCCCGCCACCCAGTGGCTCACCTCCTAGTTGTCCACCATCTAGCTCTCCATTACCTAGTAGCTCACCATGTTGTCCTCCTCGGATGTCACCGTGTCCACTATGTCCACCCAAAGCAACTTTGACTTGCTTTTGTCCAAAAATCCGATCTGCTCCCAAGCCTCAAAACTACTCCCCGCCAGCCAAGCCACCGTGTCCGAGACCACCATCTCCTACTTGTTGTCCATTGTGTCCACCAACTTCAAACTTCTGTCCATTGCCGAAACCATCATCTAAAAATATTCTTGCCACAGCGATTCGTCCTAAACCACCTTGTTGTCAGAATCCACGACAAAAGTGTTGTGCAAATCCTCCATCTCCACCGGTTTGTTACATCAGATCAATTTCCTGTTCGCCGATAAACTCGTGTCGAGGTTGTGTTCCACCGCCTTCTTCGCCTCCTATTTGTCAACCCATGATGTCAAGATCATTGTCAATGGGCGGTGAATCTGGGGGAAATAAGGAGTGCCAATCCACACCCTGCCCTGGGATTCCTTACTGTCCGAAACGACCACCGTGTCCACGACCCAAGTGATAGAGTTATACAGTGTGGATAATCTGACAGATTCTATATTTATTTCTTGTTTTATTACTTTTCTTGTTCTTTGTGGTCATCTCTGTTACTTACGTTTTTTTTTTATTACAGCAGTACAATCTTATTTAACCTGATGCCATTGGTGTCCTTTTACTTAAATAGAATTGAGTAGCATATGACTTCAATGCCTCGATAATTTTCACGGAATCAATTAACAATTAGATAAAACAGTGAAACGTAATGGTTGCTGTTGCACTTCACACGGCTACAAAGCAATTGTGGTTTCATATGAAACGCTTCTTGCGTTGATTGTATGGAGGGCGTCCGTACGCCTCACCGTCCCCATCACAAAGGCTACGGGCGACTTCATCGTCTATTTGAAAGTGAATTAGGGAAGTTCTACGGAAGTTTCGCTTAGATGTTGGGTATAAGTGCCACGAGTACTCTCCTCCTACCTGTGGATAGCAGCATTTGAGGTGTGTCGGACTGGAGCGATTTACTGCATTGTTGAAGCAATCAAATCGTTGGTGCAATTAGCCTCACTTGGTAAAGGCGATCGCACTTTGCAAGATCTCATTCTAGGCGATTTCATCTAGCGTTATTACTTCATTACCACAGTCACCACCCCGCCCCCCCCCCTTGGAAACGCCTATTTCAGAATGATTGTGATGAGATCGCGCAAAATTAATGTTAAAGTCGGATAACAGAAATTGTTGAAGAGAAAAAGAAACTAAAAAAAGTCGTTCACTTCATTTTTTCATCAATATCTCCCGTGTGATGTATCGTGAAGAGGTGGCTGCAGCTAAACCAAGTCGCAGTATGCTTGAGGAGATGGTGGATGTGTCGGTGTCGTCGGGAAAAACTGGTGTCGCCTCTTGATCAACCTCAACATCCACTTCACAATGACTGACAGCACTTTCACAATGACTGCTCTCTTCATCATTGGTGGGTTTCTTTTCAGGCACCACATAAATGGACTCCATGGAGAAGGCATCATCATCGTAGCAGGGCGAGCCCTTTTCCGCTATGGCAGACCTCCATCGAGGAATGGCGGCAGAACAGTTGCGTGGAGTGAAACAGCTTGAGCATGGACGACAGCCTTTGCATGGATTCTGTTTCACCTGAGGCTGACACTCAAATTCCACGCTGCAAGAGGAGACGGGTGTTTGACAGCATTGGTCAGTCGATTGACAGGACAACTCAACACACTGAACCCATTGATGTCGTTTCTCGGCATCAGACAGTGTTTGTACGCAATTGTCGCGCACTTTGGGGGTGAAGTTGGTGCAAAACCACGTATTCGACGTACAAATGCATCCCACCGTGGGAGAGCACGAGCATTGTCGATAGCACGGCTCGCCCTGTCCCAGTCTGGTGCCAGCTCTTCCCTTACAGGGTCGACAACAGAAATTCAAATCTTCAGTACAGGATTTGGTTCGTGTAATCACTTGACACTCGGAATTACTGGCTCCGGTAAAACAATTCTTCGACTCGTCTTTAAGTCTGCTTCGAAATCCGACCTTTGAATGCACCAACGAGTCAAATCCGCTGTCTGTGTATGAACTCTCCACTTCATGGGTAGTTTCACTATGACCTCTATCACGGCACAAAATCTCCCCATCAGAACGCCTTTTCCGACACCCATTGGAGGGCGGTGAAAGTTCAAAATTGACCTTGAAACTACTATCACATTTGTCAACTTTGATGAGTAGAGGTTCTTTCAAGGATCTGCCAGAGCGGCTGCGCTTTACAAGGTACCTACACGATGAGCACGATCTGTTAGTCGACCCAATAGAATATCGAGACGAAGGATTTGGACTTGAGGAGGGCACTGACGAGCAGTATGCCTCGGAGACATCGTTGTCAATGAAGGTGTCATAGCCTGCATCCGAGGGACGGATCGTGTGATAGGGGCTGGAGCGTGTACCAGGGGAGGATTTTTTACTCGTCTCTAAGGCATCCTGAGATGGACACCAACTTTTCTTCTCAGGTGTCATAGAGATTTGTAGTAGAGTTCTCTTAGCCGCAATACGCGGTTTTCTAGGAGTTCGCTCATCGCAAGGAGTCCACTTGGCAGGTTGATGGCGACTCTTGCACTCGGACAACTTTTCACATTGACGCAATTGACAAGCACAACTTGTCGCCTCACTAATATTATTCCCTTGCACGGCTTCGAGATACACCTCTTCGGGAGAGGCAATTATACTGGGTGGAGATGTCACATGACAACGGTGATAATGTGCACTGACATTGGGCGGCTCACTTGTCTCCGAAGCACTGCTCGATGTCGAGCTGCAGTTGGCATCCCCTTCATTGTTAAAATTTGGTGAACACTCCATGAGGAAAGGGGAGTCGGAGAGTGAATCCTCTCCAATATCATTGAGATTAATTTCCACAGACTCTTCATTTTCTGGAAATGAGTTGTCACACTGATACAACTTAAAAATATTGCTATTGGGGAAGAAGTTGTCAATTTTTGATGATCCACTCTTCACTTCACAGTTGAAAGAGGTGCCAGTGTCATACTCCGCCATAGCAAAGACACAGTTAGACAAAATTTGACCCTTCTAAAAGCATGGATCTACGGCCTTGTCAAAATCATGCCAAACATGCGGGGAACGCGTGATTAAAGTCTATTGATTATTGATTTTTGCTTGACACCTTTTGAACATGGCACCATGTGGAATGGTGTCCGAGACACGCACGACAAATCCTCGCCCAGACAAGCACTTCACGCCAGAGGAAAAAGAAGCTGAGTTTAAAGGATCGAAAGAGACTGTTAGTTCTTGCAATTGGCTTGAAAGCCACTGTTGTATAAAAGCTGACGCGCAAAGCGCCTGCAGACCTCGGGATTGGGCGAGAGGCCCAAAGTAGTGTGACTCCGGTGAGCCGAACGGATCATTGGACCTAACGTCGTCAGCGAGGCTCTAAATTGGTTTTCAGGAAGACACGATTTGATCAACAGCACACCGATGGCCTGGAGTGACAAGTACTCGAGATCTGTTGACATCGCCTATCCTGTCAAATGTGTATTGCATTGACAGGCATCACTTGCATGTGAGTGGCTGGAAAATTTCCATCCACATCGACCGTCTTTTACTAAGATAAAGTCAAAATGTGCGTTGATTGTTGTGACTCAGCGGAAAATAAAGACTCAACAAATCTACGAATAATTTGATGTGCGCCTGAGAATCTACTACACAATCTCCGCTGTCAAGAACAAGCTTCAAAGGCCAAAACATGCCTCTCCGATGCCCTTACAAATGTTGCCTGTCCATGGCCATTACAAAGGCACCAACCTCAAGAGGAAAAAACAAGAAAGTGCATCTACGTTGCCAAGTGCATGCGAAGTCTGAAAAGATGGTGGAGAAGAGAAGAGGGCACCCCTTGGTGGACACGCATCGCCGCCTCCCTGATGCAAATCATCCTGCCTACGGAACAAAGACACACGGCCTTTGAGACCAAGATACTCATGTAAGAGTTTTTTTCTTGAAAAGGGAAAACTCACTGATTGTGCGTTTAACAATGACGGTGAGTTAAGGAATTCCTTTACCACTTTAATTGTAAGCACAAACGCCCCAACTGCTGCGGCAAATTGCACTCCATGAGCACAGAGACTGCTGACCTTGAAACGTGACCACTAGGATAAACAAAAAAGGGAAAATTTTGTATGCGATTCATCACCATGGTGAGTGATGCACTAAACGCTCGGTCATTTGTGCCACATTCTCGTCACAGCATGGCACCGGTGGGTATTAGCCGACAACGCCTCTAAGACTCGCATACTAAGGTAGCCTGTGTTATTGCATTTCTCTCATTTTATTTTACATCTACATGGCAAAAGTACTCATTCCACCCAGTGGCAAAGCGTTTTTGATGATAGGAACTTTTATCTTGGGTCAATTTAATCCTTCGGAGTAGGTAATTGTGCTGTTGAGGTGCATGTTGTAAGGGGAATAACCAGTAATCCGACAACTGCTGCTTTCTGCGTTCTCCAGAGGGCAGTCTTGTCAGCAATGCTAAAATTGGTTTCGCTTTCACATGCGCACAACTATTGGCTCCATCGAGACCGACATTTTAGAGGCGGAGTGGCGCATTCCCACTCACTCCCCTCTCTTTTGCACCTTTTCATTCCCTTTAACGCAATCATGAGTCGACTGGAACCCTTGAAGGTTTTTTCTACTTTCATGCTACCTCAAGTTTCGCTTCAGGTACTCTAGTGTTTCTCCCATTTTTGAAGACACTCGGTCTAGTCACTTGTGAACTTAAACAAGTCTTAATTTTTTGTCACAAACAGCTGGCTATGAAGTAATGATAAAAAATATGAGACCTGTGAGATCACGGAGCGGACTCTGGCAGTAAAAACTACCTTCTGTTACCGATTCATACTACACCCGTGACAATTAGGATGCATGTCACTTTGTAATTTCATTTTCCCAGTACAAAAAAGGTCGACTTATGAGGATTACTGAGAGTCCACAACTAGTCCCATTTATCTGGTGTCTAAGTGAGTTGGCCAGGATATTCAAGAAATTGCATCTCTTGTGAAGAGACATCTTTTAATGTTTAAAACTTGTGTTTGTGCCAAAATGATAAGAACCGAAGTCACGGGTTCCTAATTGGTCAGTCGGCTTTGTGGCTATTGGCCAAAGCGTAAGTAACCAATCGCAAATGAGTTTGGCAGAAAACAGAATCTTTAGAGAAAAAATTTAAGCAACATTCCTTTTGAGGCTCATAGCGGCAAAGTTGACATCTTAACTTTTTTCAAATGCAAATCAATCACTGTCATTAGTTACAGCCAAGTGAGAATCGCCTTTGTTTTGACCTTGCGTTAAGTTTTGTTTTCTAGTGGTGCCACCTATGGTCGTGTGATTGCATTATGCGTGGAGAAAATAGTACCGACTTGGAGGGGTGTGAGGAGAATACAAATAGCAGAGGACAGAATTTGGTGAAAAGACAAGTCTTAAGCTTACCTTTTATTTCTCTCGCAATACGTTCCTTTAAACGCCTCACCTTGAATTCAAGTAGGCGGTTCGAGTTCTTGTTTGTCTCGTGAAGTAGAGATGATAAAGGAGAGATGAAACTACTTGACTAGTTTATATTTACAATCATGATTAGAGTTATGTTTATTTGACCTCCAGCAGATGATGAGGACCGGAGTCATTAAATTGACCTTTACCCTAGATCGAAGACATCGGAAATAGTGTTAAGAACTTACCATTGAACTGAAAAATTCAAACAGAATTACGTTTGATTTAGTATGACTCCTCGTGAGCTAGCTTTTCCCGGCCACCTGACTCCGCCTGATATCCAGGCTTACCAACAATTTTCCAACCAATCTGGGAACCCCCTTTTTTCGTCCAACCGGCTTCGGAGTTTCCGGAAACCCATGCCCCTCCTACTGGACGGTGTTGATGGCCGACTAAACCCCGAGTCCTTCTACATAAAATCTAAATCTGCAAGCAAACGTAGGCGAGACCTCCAAGTGCAGGAAATATTGCCAGTGGGAAGGTTTTTTGAAATGCCTGCTTTGAGTCCATTCGAAACTGAGGTAGGATGTAAAATAAAGCCAGTTTTAAGGATGATTCAGGACTGTAGGTTGGATGATCAAAGAGTCTGTGAGTCGTTAACCATCAACGATTTGAAACCCAGACGTCCCAACTCCATCCATCAGGCAGTAGAGTCATACATGAGGAGCTGTTCGCTTAAAAGTTATTCAGTTGTAAACAAACAAGCAAAAGAGGAATCTACCTCAGAAACCCTGATGCCTGAGCCCTCCCTTCACACCTGGAGAATGGCAAGCGAAATTGTTGAACTAATACTTTCCGGTCAAGTCTCGTGGAAACATATAGAGCCCAAATTCAAGTGCCGTGAACCTGAGAAGCATGAAGTCGAATTATTTTGTCGACTTTCGCCTCAACAGAAGAGAGTAAATAGCATTTAAAATTCTCAGCCCCTAACCCTCTTAGACAATTTATTTTGGTTCTTCAAAATTAGGTTTCCTCGTTTCAACTAAGCACAAAAATGTCTTCCTCGAGAATGTCGATAGATGGGGTGTAAGAAGGAACATTGATGGACCCTTTTGGCCATTTGGTTTGGGGCCTCTTGGCCCTCCACCAAACCTTCGAGATGGTTTTGAATTATGGAACATGGAGAGACCACGCCAGGTGAGAGAAAGGATCCTTTCAAAGTTAGAATACCTGTTTATCAGGCGGCCAATGGGAGAAGGGGAAGAGAATGTGCCCTTGAAGCGACCAATTGTGGTGTTCGATACGGATACAAGTCCACCAATGGAAGTGAGATTGAGAGGAGTGAATGCTTTGAAAGAGAAAGGCGAATTGATCTTCGAGTCAAGATTTGAATCGGGTAATCTGAAACAGGCTAAAAGAATGCAAGTTGACCAATTTTTCTGACGTATGCATCTCAATTTCGCTTGCGTTAGTTCCAGCTGAGTTTTGCTATTGAGATTAGCGTAACTGTACTGCAAGGTGCCTATTAATATGGGCTTGTAATAAATGTCAGCTGCATACGTTTTAGTGGCACTTACGAGTATGAACTTATGCTAACACCGGATCTAGTGACTGAGTCACATATTCAATGGTTCTTCTTTCAAGTGGCCGGCGCCCAAAGTGGAGTGGAGTACACTTTTCGTATCGTGAATCTACTAAAGACTAAGCGGCTCGTTAAAAGTGGTAAATTCGTATGCGTTTTTAGTGTTGCCTTTGCATAGGCGAAAAAATGCTCTTTTATTCAAAAAAATTGGCCGATAAAACAGGTAATGGATGGGCTCGAGTGGGATTCGATACAAGGCAAGGATTTTATACTTATTTCCCTTCAGTAGTACAACCATTTCGATTTCAAAAATGGCTAAAAGTGAAGTCAATGAAATTATTCTGAGTTAAAAAATCCATGACTGTTTTCCACCTAATCATTATGCTCTAACACAAAGTAACGAACAGTGACTTATTAATGTCGAGTGTTTGTCTCTGTAAAAATTTATGGATTTAGATTGCCCGTTTGTTATTTTAAAATGATTTAGTTGCCCATTCTTTAATATCCTTTGAAACTGTCCAACTCTTTTTTGAAATCAGCTACGGGAAGAACCTGAAGTCAGAGAGAAATCCAGCCCTGAAAAAGAGTGTTACTTATTACGAATTGAGATGGAAAATGGTAAGTGACTTGTACTTAGGCACTTTCTTCTGACTTGCTGGTGGTGAGATATTTTTCTTCCATTTGGCTGGTCCTTGAACGGAGGCTCGAAATATTCTCTTCTTCCCACAACCCATTGTTTGCACAAAGGTAGCATTTCGAGTGTTAACAATATTGAAAGGGAATAGACTGACAACGGCTGCAACTCTTCAGCCTACCACTGAACTTCAAGGCTTGAGTAAATTGCTAGACGAACTCGAACCAAACACTTAAGTTAATCAGTCACCACATTACGCGATAAACTATGGAAGGTACAACTTCCTCTTCCTCATTCAATCACCACGTTAGGCCACAACCTGCTTTACTCAGATCACAATCGGGAATAGGAAGGAGGATAGACAAGGATTGCGTGTGTTATTTTCGTGATATGCTACAACCTGTAGGAAGTAAGTGCTCTGCAAGAAGAGACCAGGAGGCTTGTGCAGCGTCTCGAGGCTTCCCATAGTGTGGAAGGAGGCATAAGTGAGGTTGAGCACATGTGCTCCGAAGACGACAGGGCAAATGAGGCCTGAGCGTGGCCCAAAGGCTAGCCCACGTGTACAAGGGTCAGACAAAGTCTATAGTGACCGCCAAACGTCATGTAGTCACATAAGCAAAGCATTACGGCTTGACCTTCCCGTTCTTCATTCACCCCTTCCAATAAAATGCAAAAGAGGAGTATGATAACTGCATTTATCGTCTAGATTTTCCCCTACGACGATGATGAATGCGTGTTTGCGCACTGTTACCCGTACACCTACACCGATTTGAAGACCGATATTCGTGACATGATGCAAAAAGCAAGAAAATTGCAATCTGGTAGTGTTAAATGTGAAAAGTTGTGCTCTACCCTCGCCGGGAACACTTGTTTTCTCATAACTATCACTGACCCCGGTAGGTTTCTCCCCTCTTCCTTCCTTTTTTTACTGAGATATCATCTCTCCTAGATTTAACCAATTTCCTCATTGAGATATACAGACAAATATAACTTGTAAACTTTAAACTCTTCACCCTTCCCCTTAATAACTGCCATTTAAAAGGTAATGCTAGCATTCTTCTTTTACACTTAACCATGTCAGAGTTTTTATGATTCACCTCTGCTTCGTTGCGCTGTATTCAAACTAAAAGTTATGCTGGTAGCGTTTTAATAGCTACTTGTGGCATTATAATAGGATGACGAGTCAACTATTGAAATAGCAACTTTAAACACCTACTGATAACCAATTAAGTAGGTGTGACACTTTAGCTGTTCCAGACAGTGAAAAATACGCTGCGGTTCTGACTGCACGCGTCCATCCTGGCGAAACAGTGGGTTCGTGGAATATGAAGGGTTTAATGGAATTCTTGACTCATCATCGTAGCGAAAAAGCCAAGGAATTGAGACGTCGATACGTTTTCAAATTGATCCCAATGTTGAATGCCGATGGGGTCATAGTGGGAAACTATAGGTAGAGGTGACGTTTGCTTTTCTGCAGTGAGACATTCTAGGTGTTCTCTTGTTGGTAGAGACGTTAATCGAACGTACACAATCTATGGACCGGATCGTATTCCAGAAGTGCATTTCACTAGAAAGCTTGTGGAGCAATGTCAGGACACCTACAAGGTAACCCTCTTTTATTATGACGGTAATGACTTGCCTTTTTAAGGATGTAATATTTTGCGATTTTCATGGACACAGCCAGGCATTCAATGCATTCATGTACGGAACGGACTCTGGTTACCGATCTGTCAGTGTGGGTGGTTTAATTGAACCACCCAAAACCTATCTTACAAATCCAAAACAGTACTTAGTTGACAGAATGATTCCATTTCTAATCAGCAAACAGGTAAACGTATTTTAAATCGTGTTAAAAATACTGCTTAAACTGCTTGAAGTAAAAAGGGATCGCAAATCGCTTTATAGTTTGAAGGCGCTCACCCTTCTTATATTGCAAAAAAATCATTTTTTTCATAACAGGATCCGCGACGATTCTCCTTTCGGAGTTGTCGATTTTCTCTACAGCCTTGGCGCGAGGGTTGCGCTCGAATAACACTGTGGCGAAAGTTCAACTTAACCCATTGCTTTACCATGGAAACATCCCTCTTTGGCACAAATTTGGAACCTGGGTATGTTTCTCTGTTATTCTTTAAGTCCAACTCTTCATCCCCACTTAATCACAGATCCAGTCTACGCTACTTCGACCGCGGAGACCTCCAAACGCTTGGCCGAAGCGTGGCCTTAGGCCTTTTGGAATTCCACAAAATCTGCAGTGATGACAAGTAGGTGTACGTATTTGCGAAATCCCACTTTTCGATAGTAAATTTACTGAAACGCTTATTGAAATGGGCAAAGCAATGCTGCAAGAGATTATGCTTAATCAAATTTTGTCAACAAAAGCAAAGAACTCATTGAAAACATCAAATACCGGTACGTACTTATGCTTGCTTTGTTGGAAGACATCCTAGAAATGATACAAGCTAAGACGCATCCGACTAAAAATTTTCAGGACAGTTGGAACTCAACAAGGACTTCGAAACCAACATAGGTTCTGTGGATGATTTTGCAAATGCCTTCAACAAATATGGAGATTTTTTGGTGGAAGACGATGAAGTGGACAGTAGCAGTGTTTCTGATGCCAGTTCCATCAGTGCAAGTGAGTTTATTGTGGCAAAGCCGCAAAATATGGCGGTGAGAGGGAATTCTGCGCCTGTGGGAAAATGCAAAAGGCGGCGTCGAAAGCATCGGAAGTGTAGACGGCGAAGAAAGAATCGGAGACGCAGGCTGGCTCTTCTTAGAGCCGCATTGGGAAATCAACCTAAGGTTGGCGCAATTATTTTAGCACCGGTTTTACTTGTACTAAATAAAAATAAGTAGTTATTTATTTAAGCTTGTGAGCTCGGATAGTTGTAATTGGTCAAAAGTATTCTGAAGCGCCGTGCATAGTCTTAACTTTCAGTAATCCTTTGCAATTGTATTCAAACACAAATTTTGCAAATGGAATACTTTATGGTTTAGTACTTTCTCTGCAATTATCAGTGCAGCACACGAATTTAAAATTCGCAAGTGGATTGCTGCTTAATATATGTTTGTTGTGAACTTCCAAGCATCCAAACTCTCAAGCGGATAAACTTTCAGCTGACATGCTTAGTCCCAAGCTTGGCCAAAAGATTAAGGGTTGAGCAGAAAGAATGCAAATAAGGATTAACCAACGGACGTGCAAATATGAGCCATCAAAGTCGCCTTTGTTTCATATTTTTAAACACTGCGCACTCACCTGCATTTTTTTAGGTTTTCATCTTATCTTACAAAGGCATGTTGATGAGTGAAAGTTAAGAACTACTGAATAAGTTATCAATAAATGGACAAAAATAATGGGGCATATTGATCTCGGGACGATAGAAGCCACCCAAAAGACTTACAGAAAAGAAAATACTAATAAAGTGGTAGATAATAGCTGATGGGCTGGTGGATGGATGGATACGGAGTGAATGGATAGGCAATTGGGTATGCTATGGACGAGTGAATGCAAAGAGGATGAAGGAGTGAAGAAGTTAATGGGCAGTTGTGCGATGGGCGAGTTTTCATAAGGTGGCTGCAAAATTTGTGCAACGTTGGCTGGATTGGTAAATAAAACTGCACGAACATCGTGCCTACACAACGGAGTGACTTATTAGATGAGCACAGTTTGAATGAAGTCAAACAGAGCTGACGGATATAAGTAGTATGCACCTTCCCTAATCTGCTACAACACCAACTTCTCTCGCCCATGGGGAATCCACTTTGGCACTGTCCCTGGGCTGCATGTATTACCCATCTAGGAGACGCAATAAACAACAAACACTTTTGTCGATCACGCACAAATCTACCACGAAATTGTGAACGTCAACATGCATGCTGAAATAAACAACGGCCTAATCGCCTTCGTCAAGCGCCTCTCATATCACACCGTGAACAAGACTTATCACCTATTTTCTCCCTTTTGAGAGTTGACCTCCCAAAACGAGGTTGGTAGGTTCCATCCCAGGCAGACCTCGCCACTCCCTTAGTTCAATTTGCGGCTTCAGAAAGTTGATGCAATTCTGTAATTCAAACTCCCCATGGGGTCTACTTTTGGGCACTTGATTGGCCTCCAGAGAAGTCGGGGAGAGAAGTGGGTCTAGCGTTGACTACAACCTTCAGCTGAGTTTCCAGCCACCAAAACCAGAGGGCGAGGCAACATCAACTCGCCTTTTCTAAACCTCCCATGAAAATGGTTCGCAGTAGGATAAGTGACGGTTGTTTGATTGCAGCTACCATTTGGGCTTTAGGAGGTAGAATTTACACTCACGCTTAATCACAAATCAAAGAGGCGCCTACCATTGTGACTGTGTAATGCGTAACCTGGCGGTGCGGGCGGACGATTCAATCCTTTAACTTGGGCGTGTAAAACCCACATACCAATGGAGATCGGCCAGGAAGCAAATTGCAAACCGTGGGGTCACACTTCAATACTACTTGCGTTGACAAGTTGACTTTAAATGACTGCAACCGCTGACAGCATAGGCCTTCACAAAAGGAGTTTAAAAACCACCTTGGAGGGATTCGGTAACACCTTCAACGCCCTCCGCCTCGCGAACAGCTGAGCTCAAACCGCGTTGGTGCGATTCAAGCGCCACCTAAGAGAGGAACCATTAACACCCGTACCCCACTTGGCAGGAGTTAACGCCCCAAAATCAAGGCGATAAATACTTGAGACGGGTAGTTTACCACGGTTTGCACTTTAAGAGACTCGCACTTAACACTCGCTTTTTTATGATCTGTTACAAATTATAAGCCATTGATTGTTAGTGTTCTGGAGTTTACACATTCATTTCACAGCCTCAGTTTACGTTGTCTCGGCTGTCAGTTTAACACCTTAGGCACACATTCACAAAAAAATTGATAGGTTTTTTTGAATGTGAAAGGTCTTCATTTCCTCTGCCTCAAAGCAGGCGAATTCACAGTACAGTGGTCGACCAACTTCCAATTGATACCGAATCTACTCCCAATTCACCACTTTACAGTCAGAATATGTAAAATTAAGGATTTATATATTTATTTTGAGAAAAAAACTCCTAAGCAAAAGCCTCTTTTCATCACCTTTACCAGGTTGATTCACAGGTCTATTGCCAATCAACGGGACAAGTTGAGGGCGGACGAATAGAAAGGCACTCTTCCCTCAGGCGTCTACCCTTAGGATTTCAGGTGAAAAAGTTTTTTGTGAAACATAAACCTATAACGTTAATGTTGTCACTGCCAATGCCGATCGCAAATGGTGACCCAATCCATTTATTCACCTTAAAGTCTCCATTTATCGGTGCTTTGAGCGACCTCATATAACAATTACACGATCTTTACCGCATGACAAGGCTGTTTGCGTGGAGAGCAATGCATATCCAAGGGGTAATGGATGATTGAGCAAAAACACGAATGGCAAACTATGAGGGAGCATAATTAAAGTGGACTCACCACCTTTGATGCCTGAATGAAGCATGACGCGAGAATGGACATACATGTGCCACCAGCAAAAGAATGAATGAGTAGAAAGAGAGGCGCCTGGACATACATTCAGATGAACGGATGATTGTATGCCAAACTCCTTTATTTACCACAAACGGAGAGACAGGCGAAGTAGGATTTCGTCCACTGTCATCTTCATCCTTATTATGACACCTTAATCTAATCAGTCATCTTTATCTCCCTTTAGAAATTTAAGAGCGACTCAGAAGGAAGAATAGGAAAAAGGAGTGCATCCAATAGGACAGTGCTAAAGTTGCCCATGTGCTCGCCATTCTTATTTGACCTTGAAGTCGCCTGCACGAGCCAATCAGAAACAAGACCAAAAGTAATTATCCGAAGCAACAATTCCATTCGACAACGCATGAAAAAAATTTCTTTAACTGATTAGTTTATACTGAAAAATAAATTCCACCCATTCCTAACTTAAAAGTCTACACACGATTTTGCATTTTTACTGTGATCAAAGCTTGCTTTTGTGTTCCTCGTGCATGAAAAAGCGACACCGCGGAAAGGGTGGCAGTCAGGGTGTTGGATACTGCTGGCGGTATTTTCAGAGAAAAAAAGGAAAAACACATCGCTTTTTGCCTGATAGGAGAATGCTCTTCTCATATGCCATTACAGAATCCAAAGCAGAAGCTTAGTAGAGGCCGTTTACCCATGAACAAAACCCAGGCAATGTAATCAAAGCGACTCTATTGTCAATAGAAGGCAAAAGATAGAAAAAAAACTAAAGTCAGCAGATTATGAGGTTAACTAAAGCGTAAGATGGAAGATCCTAATGCTATGCCACTCAGGTGTCACCTTTTCCGGCTTCAGCAAGAAAATGAATAACCTCGTCCACATCTTCTGGACTGCCAAGATAGATGGGAGCTCGTTGATGAATGTGAGTTGGTTTGATATCCAAAATCTTCAGGCCCTCCCTTGCCATCGCCTTGCCACCAGCTTGCTCAATTATATAGGCCATTGGGATGCATTCGTATAGTAGTCGTAGCTAAAAAGGAAAATTGGGACACCAAAGTAGACCTATGCAAATGGCAATTGAGGGGCAAACCTGGTGAGAGCCTAGAACGGCACTAAACTGGATAAACCATAGGAGTGGATTTGGAGTTGATAATTGAGTGATGCACTTAAAAGGAGGTGATTGATAGATGGGATGGGATTTCAATCACCCACACACCCACCACCCACATCCTCCAACAACTGTGAACGCAAATCGCATCAACTAGGTGTGGAGCCTTAGCAGAGAGGTTGAAGTCCGCCCCGGAGGATCCGAGGAAGGAGTGGACTAAACTGGCATTTACAATGACACTCAAAGGCATACAATAGACCTAAATAAGGCTGACCAAGCAATCATAGTCAAAATTCGGATTTTTTTTTTTCTTAGACTGGTGTAACTTTGCTCCTTGCTAAGTCTGTGTCAAGATCCGTGCTCAAGCGGATTGGACGTATGCCGACCGAAGGTGGCCAAAGCGGCAAGGGAGCCCAGGGGACAAATGTGGATGAAATGTAATTCACTGAAATGGTTGACACAGGAATTCCGTCGAAAAGCTTCGACTCATCACCTCATAAAGGCAGACCAAGCCAATAAATAGGTGGATGAACGCCGCCACTGTGACAAACTACTTGTGCTACCCTCCCAAAATGCATCGTTGGGACGTAAAACCAAATTAGCTATCAATGGACAACAAAAAGGGACTCACTTTGCCTTCAGGAGCGACGCTTAGGTCGGGATAGAGGAAGATACCTCCGTAGAGCAGGGTTCGGTGGACATCGGCTACCATGGATCCAATGTACCGGCCCACATAGGGTTTACCGTTCTAAAGTATACGATTTACCTTAATGCTAGAAGGCGAAGAAAGTTGACCCCATGATTGCGAGCAGCTCCTTATTATGCCACTTGAGTAGATTCAAAGAGCTGTCTCACCCATTTTAGTGTCCGACAACGAGAGGTGCCTTACTTCAGCCACTCACCTCCAACTGTTATGGAATTCACTTTAATGCAGATTCCTGATGACGGAGCGCCACGCAGTATCCCTCCCACCTCTAGACCTACACCTAACATCACACGAACAACCGCCAAGTTGACTGATTTGCTGACAAGAAATCTTTTCTCTATCCCTGCTAGAGATACCTTAGCCAGTATCAAGCAATCCGAGGATTGGATGAGGTTAAAAGCAAGAACGAACCTTTGGAAACTTCTTTGCATGAATGTAGTTTGTCATGCCTTTGGACCAGTAGGAGGCGTAGCCTTCGTTAACGGAGTAAATTTTGCCTCGTGTTGGGATCGTAATGTTCGGTGAGGTGAGAATGAACTCACCCAAAGACTGGAATTATGTAAATGCTGACGTTACGAAATGAAATTGCATACAGAGATGCAAAAAGCGCTTTAAAATGACTTAACGAGAGAGATGAGTGGATCCAAGGTGGGTGGAGGAGGGAGAGGATGCACTGAAGGGCATTATACCGTCTGGCCCTTGAACAACTCACCGGATCCAGTGTAAATCCGTGCACTCCTGATCCCATGGACAAGACAATCATCGTCGAGCTCCCATAGATTGCATACCCTGCGGCGACCGTATTTCGTCCACTCTGCAGTGCCTCAGCTGCCGTTGCTGCACTGTGGTCTTGACGTTTTCTTCGAAACACAGTAAAAATAGATCCCACCGAACCAAGACAGTCAATATTTGATGAACCGTCCAATGGATCAAAGGCCACAATGTACTTTCCTTGCTGTTTTGCTTCCACAATAACCGGTTCTTCGTTCTCCTCCGAGACAAGCATGCAAGTTGTGTAGGAGGAGACCATCATATTGATGAAAAGCTCATTAGAAATGACATCCAACTTCTTCACTTCCTCGCCCTGAATGTTTGAACATCCCGTGAATCCATAGCTACAGTAGAAATGTTAAAACCTGGGAATATGAAGAGTCTTCTAGATTACTTTGCAAATGTTTCCTGGGACTGGCTCAGTTGACAATGCAACTGGAAAACACGCGCTATTTCCACCACCAGATAACCTTAAAGCTTTCCCAATGTAAAGCAGATTCACAAGTATCGCGTCCTTCTGATCACAGCATTAGAGGGAGGGTAATGAATGGGTCAAACGAGGCTACAGACAATGATTTATTTAATAGCCTACCGATGCACAGCCCACTATCCCTACGCAAAGAACTACAAGTCTGCAAATTCCATTTTTGTAATAGAGCCAAGCCCATTTCCATGTCATCAAAAAGCGCTATTTTTGAGGCAGCATGGACCTCTTTGGCTTCACGAAAAACGTTAAAATGGAAGTAAATGACTTAAAAATAGGTTCTAAATGTTTTCAGTCTACGGTAACCGCGTCACGCAGGCTCCAGGCCATTTGCGTGGACATGTTGTGGCTCTAGCCACCGTTTGTAAGTCTATCCACCCTTTTTATAGGCACAGGAACTTTTAATGTATTCTTTGAAAAATCTAGGCGCTGACCATGGCATCTCAGCCGCCCATGCTTGTCTAGCAAAAAAGCAAAGTAGAGGACTAGTCACTTACAGTTCGGCAATACCTGCCTTCCTCACAGCGTTCGAAATGGCCTTGACAGCTGTTTGAATTCCATTCATTAGTTGGGTCAGCTCGCCGGAGGCGCCAGGATACTTCATCTGCTCGTTGATGATAAATCGAGTCAGGGTCATACAATTGGTATCAATTTGGTTCGAAGTCATGGCGTCTGAAACAGTAGACAACTAGGTTCATTGACAGTCTACCAATAAATTGAAAATACAAAAACTAGCTTGACATATAAGTTGCACAGTGCACCACAAAGGACACATTTACGCCCGATCTTACCCTCAACTTCAAGAAAGGAGTGCTTTGCTGAGTGGATACATTATCTATAGAACATGAGGAGAGTAGGCTTGACAAATCGTCAGCTCATCTACACCTTCTATTCGAGAAGTAAATCATCTTTGTAAGCCATCAACAAGAGTTCAAACAGCAAACACTTGGTGCATACTAGATTTGATAAAAGTATTAGAGTGCATATGAAGAGGATTCACGCGCGGTGGATACAAAAGCAGAGATATTAGGCATGTAAGCAGAAAGTTTCACATGAGAATTTACAACACAAACGTCGGGAGAAATGACAACAATCAAACCAAGTGATTTTGTAGGCTGAACTGGTTTCATGCAAACGATAGATGGAACATGATTCTGCAATGCTGATTTACATTTCTTAACTGCCTAAGGAACAACTGGTGAATCATGTTGAACAAAAAACCAGTACTTTAATTATGCGAATTGGTGACTCCGGAACACTAATAAAAACGTTTTGTAACAAAGGGCTTACAATAGTAAAGGTGCAAATTACGAAATGCCAGGTGGCAGCTGCTCAAACCCAGTAGAATCTGGGGACAAACCAGAGCATGGGATGAAGGAAAAAGTGATGAAGCTATTCAAAAGCAACTGCATTAGCAAAACATTAAACTAGGCAGCATTTACTGCAAGAAATGTAGCCCTATAAATAATTTGCCTCTAAATTGTTTCTGTGACAATGTAAAATTTATTTTACAAGCCGACCGAAGTATGTCGCGCACAGGAAACAATGAGACTCGTCATTAAGTGATCCTATTGTTATTGATACAGACATATAAGTATGCAATGCATATTTTAAGAAAACTCTAACTCAGTTCAGAAATGAAGTCAAGAGGAAAAGTATGCTGACCAGAAGAATGAAAATCAAGAAATAAGGGAACACAAAATGTTTGCCTTTTAACAAATCACCCAGTGAACAAAAACTTATCAGAGCATTTACATATAAAGTAAACGTTTACGGCGTTGTGATAACACTCCTTATGCAAAATAAACTCAAAAAGTACCCAGACACGAGGATAGCTCAAAACTAATCCGCGAAAAAGTGCGACCTTCATCAACTACTTACATTAGTTCACCTTAAAAACAAATGTTCTCTTAATTTGCTAGAGTAATGGTGCACAGTTAATAGAAAACATCATTTTAACTTTTTTACAACTAATTAAGCAATTGGTTATACGATCTTTTAGATGATTACAGTGGTTACAGATTAGTTGAAATGACCAATAATGATTGCAGCATAGTTATGTATTATACTACAGACATACTTTAGCTTAATGAAAGTAATAAAAAGCTAGTGGCCTATATTTATCAGCAAAGCTGATATACCTATGAACACATTATACTTCATTTTCACTGATTAGTTTCACATAGGCTTAAAAGACATTTAGCATTCATTATTGTAATGCTTTTTTAAGCGAATAACTGAGATTCGGCGGTCACTTTAGAATTTGCCCAACCCTTGTGCTTCTTGGCTGGCCTTCAGGCTATGCTGAGGCCCATTTGCTCTGTTTTCTTCGGAATATATATATCCAGCCACACTTCTTCTAATTTATGGAAAGGCTCGAGACGCTACAATTATCAACTAATGAGCACAATGCCTAAGCATAGCACTAATGAGACAGCTGTACTTTTTGGTGTTGTGTTGATTCCTTAGTCTTTGGGGCTCAACCGGAGGTCAAGGCCAGATGACACTTAAGTAGGATGCCTATATTCAGGATCACGCCTGAGGCTAGCTAAACCGTCAAAAGTAATGTTCTCATGCTAATTTATATGGCCGAGTTTGGGTGTCAAACTAACATAGTAGTACTGTAAATACGTCTGCATATTAAATTTGTATCCAATTCCGTAAATCCTTGGCAGGAGCACCAATACAGTCATATCTCCACAACCGGTTTGCTTGAGTACCCCTCGCCTTGGACGTCACCTTGTTTTCGCTGACCATCTTCTCTCTAGAACATGCTTCCAGCCATATTTAATGCCTTCTACTACCGAAGGGGAAGTCTTGATACGCTAAAATCCTGTTTTCATTTTATCTAGTTTTAAGTCACCATAACCTTTGTGCGATTTTGTTCATGTGGTGGTTTCGCTTGTGACATCACTGCTAGATAGTAGTAGGGGTTACTTCTCTGCAAACAAGAAAAGTAAAACAATGGCGAGGTGGAATTTACGTCACTTTTAAACACTGTGTTATAAATGTACAGATTGAAGATAAAACTGTCGCTGTTTAAACAGACTCATTTGTGAAACCATCTACCTAAACCGCTCTAGCCGATTCATCTATTGCTTACTTTTTCATTCCCAATGCTGTGTTTCCAGTCTACATCTGGTGGTCTTCGTGAAATAACCGAAGACCCAAGCGTTCTGGTTGTAAGACAAGCCAACAACCACAAGCATTTGCAAACACCACCTTTTGTCCAGTTAGACTCGGAAACGCAGTCCACTCTCCAGCCCCTTTTGAGTGACATCGGTCGTGTGGACTGCAGGTGTTTACTAGCCGCACATTCGATACACATTCCAGGCCCCAATCCCACACTGCCAATCCATTCAACACTTACCCCACTGATCACAGCATTCAACTGTCTATAAAGTATTCGTGTTTCACCGAACTGTTCATTTTATTGTCTAAGCATTCATGTGTAAAAAAAGCTCTTTAAGGCTTAACACCCTTAAAACGCTTTTACTCGTCATACCGCCTTAGCAATTCGTCACTCTAGCCATTTTCGACTTGACTATATGCTATTACCTCCGTCAACCCGTAGCCGACTCGTCTCCAGTGACCCGCATTTGTCCACACATTCAACTGTTGGCTTTCTGTGCATCGAAATGTTCACCGCTGATTGGATTGAAAAATAAATGTAGGGATGACTAAGGGAGCGGGAAAGTGGAATGAAGGGATGATTGAATGTGTGAACGGAAGCACAGATTCTTTACACCACTTTTGGTTACCTTCTGCCCCTTGTCCCACTCACTTCTAAGGTATTTGTCATTAAGCGTAATTTTGTAAAGTGCCTTCACTGACTCCCCCTTATTGTTACTAACTCAAACGCCTGTTATAGTAGTCCATTAAATTTGACTGGCGTCCTATGCAGGTTAATTATGATGAACAGATGGGTTTTAACAAATACCTTCATCTGAGTCTCCTTTATTCATTTAAAGTTATCAGCAATACCATCTCTGTCTGATCCTTTTGGTAATGCTTGAGCTTGTAAATTTTTTCCCACTCTTCAGCTTCTTTTCCTCCTCCGAATTCGCAAGATGAAGTCGACTTTAGCTTAACCTCTTTACTTTGCGTGTGATTGCGTATTGCGAACAAGTGAGAAGGTGAGAGGTGCGACAGAATAGCCTTTGCTCTTTATCTATTCACACGCAGGTTTACTGCTTTTTGGGTGAATAGAATGCTCTTTACACTAGTAGCTCATTGTTCACTTAAGTCATTGCTCTCACTGTTAGGGTGTTCCGGTTTGAGTAGATGTAGGTCGAATCTTAGAAAATTCAACAATCCACTGTGAACCATCTCGCCTGCAAGTAAAGCTGGCATAGTTCGCTGTGAGAGGTCATTTAAGGTAAGCCAATGGGATGCTCTTTCACCTCACTTTCAGCGTCATGAATAAAATATTTTCGATCACAGCTCGATCAGGAAGGAAGCCAAAATTCCCAACCAACATTAATTGATGCTTTAAAATTAAGGGATGGGGAACAATTTAAGCTACCAACTGTTAATTCACATTTATATGTGACCTGCATCACCCATTCACTAACCTTTGATCACAATTCCTTTTTATTCAAGGGCAAACAATTTGTTGCACCTTTGTACGACTCAAGCGTACCTTAAGGTTTTCAATGTCAGATCAAATGTAAAGTAGTCAAATCAATTCTTCCATGCTGTTAGTCATGCAGTCATCCTGGGATTAAATAGCTTATTACCATCTTCTGTGGCCTCTCCTGATGCCGTAAAATTAGTTGTGAGGAAAATTTTTTTAACAGTGAGGAGCAGATTTACTTTGACATCAAAAAAGGCAACCTTGAGTTACACCCTAGTCATACCGAGCGTGCTGTGTGAAGTAGTTTGACACATGAGAAAAAGGATGGCGCAATGCAAGAAGATAGATTGACGCATGCCCCCGCCTTTATGAAGTGCTACAAATAGCGTAAATTAAAAGTACACAAAATACTTCAAAACTTACAATTGTAAGGTGTAATTGTGTGACAAATGACCTCTTCTGGTCATTAAATGGGCCATAATTAATTAGCCCTGATAGGGAGCTTTAACACAATTCCTTTAACGCATTAAATATTGCGGTTAATAAAATGGCTTTGACGTTTCATCGAGCAGAGTTAGCAATGGAAGCGGGGGAAGGGCAAGTTAATGGTCAACCAATCGGCAACTTGTGATTGGCTGATTATGCGACCACGCGCATATCGATTGCAACCAATGAACGCACCCCTTCTCCAATAACTACAACTCCACACCACTTACACATACCATCAGATTGCCACCGTCACACTGCGTCTCATAATCCCTTCTCCCTCTCCCAACCAACAGACAGGCAATGCAATGTCCCCACTTCCCTCTACGTGCCATGTGGTGCGAGTTCCACATAACACGGGCGCTGCTGACATGCAAAGGAGACTGGAGGGTGTGTGACTCCACCAACACTGCGCCCACACACCGAATCCCACCATCTACCACCACATCCAGTGTGCATTCACTCCCTCCTTCCCATCCTACCCTGTGTGGAAGGAAAGGAATTTCGAAAGTCCACGATTTGCTTCGCTTTGGCAACAGAATGGTGATTGCGGAAAGAAGTCGCCTCTCCCACTTTCCACGTCCTCCTCCTCT